TGGAAGTACTGCTTTGGGCAGGCCAGGGGATGGGGGGCCTATTTAGGGGTCCACAGGTGCGAACATCACTTGTCAGGGGGAGAAGGGCAGAGCTGCGTGGGGCTGGTGGACACGGGAACCCAGGAGAAGCGGGGACACAAGCAGGGCAGCCACATTTATACCTTCAGACGCAGCCCCGTGGGAGCCGGCACCGTGGTGCAGCAGGCTGAGCTGCCTGCTGACGCGCCTGGGAAAGCAACGGAGAATGAATGGCCCTGGGACTGGGGTTCCTGCACCCGTGGTGGGGAGACTCTGAGGGAGCTCCCGGCTCCTGGCTTCGGCTATGAGGTGGCGCAGTCCCCCTCCCCCCATACTATATAGGCTTCTGTTCATCCATGTTGGCACGAGGCTGGAAGAGGCTGGGAAGGGGGCAGGAGCACCAGCTTGCCTGGGTTTCAGGCCCCGCTCCCCCTCTCCATGAAAGGTTTGGGCCCAGCCTCTCTGTGCCTCAGTTTCCCCAATTCAGCAGAGGGAGGAGGATGAGGCTACGACAGGGCACGTTGGACCTAACAGTTTCAAATCCAAAATGGCCCACAATAGAAACGTGGGCGAGCGGGGTGAGATGGCAGGCGGTGGGAGTGAGTGGACATAGAATCGTGCTGCCCCCGCCATGAGAGGTGTGGATACTACAAAGCCCCAAATCCCAGGCGCTTCTGGTCCCAGACGTCGTTGGAAAGGGCCTTCTGTTTATGTCAGAATTTTTTTTTTTAAGATTTATTTTTATTGGAAAGTCAGATACAGAGAGGAGGAGAGACAGAGAGGAAGATCTTCCATCCGGTGGTTCACTCCCCAAGTGGCTGCAGTGGCCAGAGCTGAGCTGATCCAAAGCCAGGAGCCTCTTCTGAGTCTCCCATGCAGGTGCAGGGTCCCAAGGCTTGGGGCCGTCCTCCACTGCTTTCCCAGGCCACAGGCAGGGAGCTGGATGGGAAGTGGGGCTGCTGAGATTAGAACTGGTGCCCCTATGGGATTCTGGCATTGCAAGGTGAGAACTTTAGCCACTAGGCTGCCACGCAGGGCCCTAAGATTCACCCTCCCCCCGCCCTGCTTTATCTTTATTTGTTAGTATGGCAGAATTCTATTCGAGGGACGGAGCTGGTTCACTTCTCAAATGGCTGCCCAGTCAGGAAAGCCCAGCCACAGGGGGCCATCTCCTGCTGCTCTGCCCAGCTACATGAGGAGGGGTCTGGATTGGAAGCAGAGCAGCTGGTAGTGGGGGACACTCCAACCAGTACCCCCCCGAGTGGCGGCTTTGCCCGCTGTGCTGCAGCACGTGCTGGGTGGGCGTGGATTGCACGCGCTGCCTTGTTGGTCCCTGGACATGAGATGACGGGCTGGGGGCAGCGGCCAGTGTCCACAGGATGAGCGCGCGCGCCTTCCCCACCCCCCACCCCCGGGGTTGGGGAGAAAGGGTTGGTCCTGGATCCGAGCCCCTGACCACAGCTGGGGCCTCTCCCCGGGCCCTCTCTTGGCATCCTGGCTGGTGTCTCACCTGTACCCCATTGCTGACACTGTCCCTGGGGACCGCCTGGCTGTCCTGCCCGCGCCAGCCTGGGCCTGCAGGCTCTCACCCCAGCACCCTGCCTGCCAGAGCCTGTCCTGTCCTGTGTGACAGCGGGGCGCCCCTGCTGGCTGCCTGGTGGGGGCTGGCAGCTCCATCCCCACCCCAGGGACCCAGGACCCAGAGCCAGCTGTGGGGCCCTCCCCCTTTGGAATTAGTTTAGGGGTGCTAGGCGGTTCCTGGGGAGATAGTTGTAGAGGGTCCCAACAGCCTCTGTCTTGGCCGCCAAGTTGTCGCTCCACGCCCTACCGTTTGAGCCGACAAACATTCAGTGAGTTTATTAAAAAAGCAGAAGAGGTCAGAGAGCGAGCGAGGGGACGGGTCTTCCAGTCCTCGGTCACTCCCCAAATGTCCTCCACAGCTGGGCTCTCTCTGGGTTTCCCAGGAGGGTGGCTGGAGGTCTTTGAGCCAACTGCTGGCTCCCGGAGTGGGCAAGGACAGGGGGCTTGATGGCAAAAGGCAGAGTCGAACCCAGGGTGTGGGCCATGGCTGTTCAAGTTGTGTCTTTACTGCCCAGCACAGGGAGGGACGGGGGACTGGCATGGGACTGCTCCTGCCACTTGCAGGGGTACAGTAGCCGAGCAGTGTAGCGTCTTCAGGGGACCCTCATGGTGCCAGGTACCATTCACCGTGAGGACCTGGGTGTGGCTGGGGCGGGCACCATGCCCGCTACGGTGTGACTGGCACATGGCCACAGCTCCAGGCCCGGGGCAGGGGCACGGGTGTGAGCGTGGGCGAGGCAGGCTGCCTGCACACGTCTCCCGCCGCGGGGCTCGGATGCCGGGCTGGGCGAGGCCACGAGGAAGAGGCTGCCTGGCCAGTTTCTGGGGTACACTCACTCCTGGTTGCTGGGGGTGGGGAGGTATGGCAGGTTCCCCAAAGAGGAATCCTATAACTTATAGCTCAGCAGCCAGGTCAAGCCCCCCCCCCTACTCCTCCCATGCCCATGTAGTTCCTGAGCCTGGTGTGGGAGGCCTGGATGGAGCTGTGGGCTCCCCGCTCTCTGCGCCCAGGCCTGGCTACTGTGGGCATCGGGCGAACGAACCAGCAGATGGAAGATTGGAGAATCGTCTCTCTCTGACATCTGTGCCTGGAGCTCCCCTATCCGTACGTCCTCCATCTCCGCCGCGGCCTTTTGGTGCCCAGCCTGGCCCTCGTGCCCTCATACCTCCGACGTTGTCTCCCCCTCCTCCAGGAAGCAGGCCCAGTGCCAGGACAGGCTGGGCGCCGCGTCCCCGGCTGCCCGGTGCCTGGGGCAGAGCATCATGGGTAATTTTAATTTTCTCCCTTTATATATATATATATATATATTTTTTTTTTGCTGATTTCCTCCAATTTTCTGCTGCACGCGCCTCTTTTATAATTAGAAGAAAAAGTTATTTTGAAAAAAAAAATTTACCCGCAAGCATCCCAGCTGCGGAAACTGACAAGGGCCAGCCGTGTCCCCTTTCTCCTCACGAGGGCAGTGGCCGGACGGATGGACGGAGGGACAGACGTGGGCTGCCTAGGGGTGGAGACCATGCAGGCTTCCTGGAGGTGGTGGCTCTGACCTCTGAGGCGCTCAGGTCCAGAACCCTGAGGGCAGCCTCGATTCCTCATCTTCCCTTAGAACATTCTGCAGCCTTCTAGAACATTAATTACACTGGCTCTGTCTACAGAACAAGCCACGAGCTTTTTCTGGGTCTCCCACGCGGGTGCAGGGTCCCAAGGCTTTGGACCGTCCTCGACTGCTTTCCCAGGCCACAGGCAGGGAGCTGAAAGGGAAGTGGAGCTGCTGGGATTAGAACCGGTGCCCCTATGGGATTAGTGTTTGTAAGGGGAGGATTTAGCCACTGAGCCACCTTGCCATGCCCTGGTTCCCTTCTTTAGGCTCCATGGGGAGCGGTTCTGGCCACCCCCAAGCGATCACCCGCTGCCTGCCAGCATCCGAGGCCCTGCCCTTTCCACTTCCGCCTCGTGCCCAACCTGCCCCCGGGCCTTTGCATGCATGGTGCCTGCTGTCTTGGTCCTCCCTGCAAACACCCACACTGCTTTGAGATGCCCTCCCCTCTTGGCTTGGGCCAAGACCCGGGGTCGTCCATTGCTGGGGAGTGTGAGGTCATTTTCCTGGGTGTTGGTGGTCTCCATTGCTGAGGTCCTTGTCTGGGGGCCCCATGTGCGAAGTTCAGGACCTGGCATTGCCCAAGCCAGCCCCAGTTGTTCACGGGCGAGTCACAGTGTGGGGTGTCCAGGCACCAGGCAGGGCACTTGGCCTTCCCGGCTACCCCCTCCACGGGCCCTGGACCGCCTGGCCTGCTCTGCTGCTGGGCCCCCTGCGCTCACTGCCATCCAGGGGGAGCAGCAGGTCATCTCCATGGAGACGCGGCCAGCAGCCTGCAGGAGGTGGGCCAGGCTCACAGGGTGGGTGCGTGTCTCCCGGCTACTTGCATTTGTTGAGCTCCTACTGTGTGCCCAACAGGGGCCATGGCTGAAGTCTTGAAGCCCAGTGGGGGGCTGGACTCCTACCCTGTCTTGGGAGCAAGTGCCTGCTGAGCCCCTGCTGGTGTCTCCCTGTGTGCGTGCTGCCCAGCCGGCCCCTCCTGGCTCCCCACTGCCTCTGACCCCCACTAGGTCCAGGGCTGCTGGTCTGTCCTCCACTTGGCTGATGGCGACTCTTAGAGTCCCCTGGGCAGCAGGCACGTGGCTAGATACACGCAAGGCGCTTTGTTCGCGTTGGCTCATGGGGAACCCAGCCTTTCTGCTAGGGGAAGGGTGCGCGCCCACAGTCCTGGGGTCTCCCCACCACCAGGATCGTGGCCGCCCCTTCCCCAGGGGAGCCGCATTCCCTGCCCATCGGTGGAGTTTTCAAACCCGCACGAGGGGCAGCAGAGCGCATGCGGATTGGCTGCTGGGGCGGGTCGCCCCTCCATCCGCTCAGCTCCCTTCGGATGGGATCGGGTGTCAGGGGTTTGACCGGGCAGCTGCGTCTGTTTCCAATCGAGCCTTGCGCTCTTCGCCCCCTCCTCGGGTTTGCGGCTAGGGTGGGGGCTCCCCCACTGCCACCATGGCCCCCTCCTCATCCATCCCCCTGGTGGCCCGGCCGTGATCTAAGCGGTGATGGGAGAGGGGTCCCCCCAGCAGCCGCCGCTTCTCCTGCCTCCCCAAGTTTTGGGTATACCATGGTCCCCAGCCCGCTGCAGCTCTCATCCACCGTGGGGGGCCTACTAGAACCGAGAGGTAGTGGTGACGGGACGACCTGGCCCTGCACCCCCATGGAGATGGCCCCCACCCCAGATGGGGCTCCCCCGCGGGTCCCCCCGCCCCGCTTCCGCCGGGCGCCCCGCCCCGGCCCCGCCCCCAGGCCAAACTCCCTTGCTCGCCTGCTTGCTGGCTGGGCTCCGTTGCTGGTGGAGCCACCGAGGCCTCTCCGAGCACTCGCTGTGCTCCAGGGCGCCCAGTGGAGGCGCGCCAAGAAAGAAGCTCGGGCTGCCCAGGCCGGCCCCATCTCCAAGCAGCGGTGGGTGAGTGCGCAGCGGGGAGCCCCTTCCGGTCCTGGGGGGGGACCCCACGTTCTCTTCCCACCTACCCTCACCCCCCCCACACACTGTCCTGCGTCTTCCCCTGTACCGTGCGCCTTGCGCCCTGGCCTGGCTCAGGCCCGCTGCCCGCCGTCGCCTCTCCGGGCACAGCCTGGCCCAGGCCCGCTGCCCTGGCGCCGCCACCCCCCCCACCCCGACCCAGCGGCTCGCACTTTGCAAAAGTGCAGACCGTTAGGCACCACGGACCCCCTCCCCCGCCTGGCCCGGGGCCCACCTCCTCCCCCCCAGCTCTCCCCACCTCCCGGGGGCGGAGCCAGGCACCGGCCAGCCTCGGCCGCCAGCCCCGGCCTGGGTGGGGGGCTTTGGGGCGCTCCTTGCTCGAGATGGGGGGTACCCTAATGGCGGCAGCAGCAGAGGGGGTCTGGCCCAGGGGGCGGGGCTGTGGCTGTGATTTCCAGTCTTAGCCACCCCTGCACCCCTCTGGACCACAGGACGGGAACTGCAGTGTGGGCCGGTTCAGGTTGACCCCACGGGACTTCCCTGCCAAACTGTGGGGCCCCTTCTCCCTACCCGTCCCTGGCTTGGCTTTCAGCAGCCGGCGGTGATCTGCAAAGGGCCTCTGGTCACTCTGCACTGGCTCCAGGGCCAGCCTCATCTCCCCGCCTCTGCGGCTGGGACAGACCCCCCCATTCATGTCTCCTGCCCCCCATTTTCTGTGCCTGGTAAGGGCGTCGTTGTTGGAGAGTACCAAGGAGGGATGTGGGGGTTGCGGGCAGCACTGGACATGCAGAAGGTACCCACTGTGTGCGGGAGATGCGCGTTGAAGCTGGGGTTCGATGGCGGAGCCAGGGAGAGGGTACGGGCAGCGCAGGATGGCCACTGGGACATGCAGGGGTTTAGGGGGCAAAATGTCCTGGCTGGGGGGACCTCGGGGTGGGCTGGGGTGGGTGGGAGTTGCTCAGGGAAGGAGGTGGGAACCCACGTAGAGGTGCGAGGGGTACGGGTCACCCCAAGATCTTAGCCTCCTGAGCCGCATGTGGGAGCTGGGCAGGGTTGAGAGCTAGGGCCTGATCCAGCAAAAGGGAGTTTGAGGACCACCCGTCCCTGCCTGCCGTCCTGCAGGACGCTGAGTCAGTTAAAGGCAGATCCGAATGGGGGACCCCTCGCGGAGCCTATCAGCTTGGGGGGGTGTCTCAGTTGGGGTCCCTTTGGTCCTATGGATGTTCTCATAGTCCCTGGATAACACAGGGGTTCTGGGACTTGAGGGAGAAGATTCTGGGATGGGACATGGTGGTAAGGGTCCTGTCTTTCGCGAGCCCCACTGGCCTGGGGGTACGTGTTGAGCGGCTGAGCCCCCAGGCTCCTCAAGGGCTGTGGCTTGGCGAGGCGTCCCTGCCTTGTGACACCCCACTCTGGGTTACAATGACCCCTTTATGCGTGCCAGGCCGCGTGGGCACACGGAGCCTGCTCCAGCATCGCGTGACACTGGCCGGAGCGGCTGCCCACTTGGCCTGGCGGTTGGCACAGCGTGGGAATCCAGTGGGGTGAGGGGGGCTGGGGGGTGTCTCAGATGGGGCCGCCCCCCTCTCTGTCCCTCAGCTGGCATTGCTGAGCCGCTGTGTGTCTCACTTTACTCTTCGGGAAACATGAGCGGCCGCGCACCTACACCTGCAGCTGCTGTGGGTGACCGCAGGCGGGGAGCAGGCAGTGACCCTGCCTCCCACGCTCCCCCAATCTGAGTGCAGCCCCAGGGGCAGCTGTGCCTTCACGGGGTGGGGGGAGGGTGTGTCAGCTTCTACCTCCTCATCTTGAGGGTGGACCATTGACCCCGGTGTCGCTCCCTGGCCTGGGCTATGCAGGGTTCCAGGCTGGCCCCGTGGGTCCTTCCCAGGCTGGCCTCTGTCCCTTCCTCTTCTGGGACTTGCGGGTCCTGCCTCACCCTGCTGCCCCACGACATTCAGCTTCTGGCTGTCACATCCAGGCATGGAATGTGCAAGGGCCCGGGGGCAGCACCCGTCCGTGGGAGGGACAACGAGAAGGTCAAGAGGGTGCAGAAGAGGCAGGTCGTTCAGTGTCCTCTGGGGTCACAGGGATGCTCTGGCCTTTGACCCCAGGGAAGGCAGGTGGGAGACCGGCTGGGTTTGGGTTTGGGGGTCCAGGAGGGACCGTACCCAGCCCAGGTACTCGGAGGCACCCTCTGGCAGCTGCAGGGAGAGGTGGTCGGTCAGCTGCCTGTGGGCTGTGATCTGGTGGGCCAGGTGCCTGGGAGAATCTAGATGCTGCTCTCCAGCCCCCACGGTGGGAGACCCCTCATCAGGGTCTCCACATGCCCCCATATTGTGTGTCCCTGGGGGTGTCTCATTGCCATGATGTGCCAGGTTTGGGGTGTCTGTTGCACCCCGCTTCCCCTGTACTCTTACCTCCACACTGTCTGCCTGCCTGCTCCAGGCTGTGAGCCGGTGGGTAGGGTCTGCCTCGGTTTCCCCAAAGACCTTCCTTCAGGAGCCACGTGGCCCTGACACCCACACTGCCTCCCCTCTCCCCAGCCCTTCTCCAGCTGGAGCCGAACAGATGTGCGTCTGTGGGTGGGGCCCGCTGCTGTGGCCTGGCCCCTCCACAGCCACCGCTGTTGTCCTCAGCCCCGGCTGGCTGCTGTCTTCCCCCACTTTGCCTCTTGAATGGCCCCCCGAGTGGGTGTACCTGCTCCCCTTCTTCCTGTAGGCTAGGTTGACTGACAGGTGGGGGCGTGGCCTGCCTGGGCACCTGTTCCTCTCCGCTGTGAGGTTGAGCCACACTCACCCGGGTCCGGGGCCACCTGCCTGGCGGGGACCATGTCTGGAGGCCTCTGAGCTGACCGGCTCTGTCATCTGTCTGGCTCGCCTGATCTCGTGTGGGGCTGACTCTGTGCCTGCTGATCTGGGGTGTGTGTATGTGGCCTGACTGTGCGCCTGTCAGTTCCCGCTTGCCACCCCAGCTTCTCCTGACCCCAGACAGGGGTGTGCGGCCACACTGGCCCAGCCCTTCCCCTGTGGCTGCCCCGGGGCTGGGTGCGGTCACCACAACGGGGTAATTTGGGAGCCCGAGTCCCAGTGGCCGCTCCATCATTATGAGCCTGGACCCGCCCGGGGCATGGCCTGCCGTGGGGTGCGGGACTGCCCAGTTCCCTTCCAGCCTCTGGCTCCAGCTGTGGCAGTGTGGCGTGGATGTGCGTGTGGGGTACGGGGTGCTGAGCTGTGAGTGCCGCAAGGGAGACCCCAGCTCTGGCTGTGTGCTGGGAGAGGGGACAGCAAGGGCTTGGGGGAGAGGGGCTTCCTGCAGAAGGGGGAGACCCGTGCTGGGCTGGGGGGCAGTGGAGGCACAAACTCCTGGCTAGATGGGGTGGGGTCGGGAGGGAGGGCGGAGCTGGGTGGGCGATGGACAGGTGTGGGGAAGTGAGGACCCCCCCTCGCTGGGCTTGGGACACAGGGTCCTTAAGTTCCTGCCCTCTCTGTTTTTTTAATTAGCGAGAGATCTTCCATTGACTGGTTCACTCCCCTAATGCCCGCACAGGCTCTGAGTGCACCAGACGACAGCCAGGAGCCGGGAGCTCCATCCGGGTCTCCCCTGTGGGTGACAGGAGGTCCTAAGTGCTTGAGCCTTCCTGGGGCTCCTGGGGTGTGCATGTGAGCACGGAGCTGGAGTGGCGGGGTGCAGCCAACATCTGGATCCAGGCTTTCAAAATTGGGATGCTGGGCCCAATGCAGTAGCCTAACGGCTAAAGTCCTCACCTTGCACACACTGGGATCTCATATGGGCGCCAGTTCTAATCCCGGTAGCCCTACTTCCCATCCTGCTCCCTGCTTGTGGCCTGGGAAAGCAGCGGAGGACGGTCAGAAGCCTTGGGACCCTGCACCCGCGTGTGAGACCTTGAAGGGGCAACAGGCTCCTGGCTTCGGATCGGCTCAGCTCCGGCTGTTGCGGTCACTTGGGGAGTGAATCATCGGAGGGAAGATCTTTCTCTGTCTTCCTCACTGTACGTCTGACTTTGCAGTAAAAAAAAAAAAAAAAAAATTGGGGTGCTGGAACCCAGCTCTCCTCTTGCTGTCACCTCTGACCCCTCTGCCTGCTATCCAGAGCCCCCTCTGGGCAGCCCCCTCCCACCCCCCAGATGGCACCCACCCCTCCAGCACCTTCTCATGACCACTTCGCTGTCTCTGCAGACGCCGCCCCGTCTGACACTGGGTGCGAGGCCTCGCTGTGAGGGACCCGGGAGGCCAGCCCCCTCCAGGACGGAGGTCGTCGGAGGCCAAGCTGAAGCATGGGGCCCGCGGGGGGCCCCGGCGTGGCAGTCGTGGCGGGGCCCCTGGGCCTCCTGCTGCTCCTGCTGGCTGGAGACTGCGCTGGAGAAGGTAAGAGGGGTCTAGCGAGCCGTGGGGCTGCGTCAGCGCTGTAGCGCTGGGGGAAATTGAGGCACAACCGGGAAGTGGCTTTGCGAAGATTCGAACCCCGCCTGCCAGGGCCGGGGCCATGGTGGCTGGGGCTGTGGGCTCGGGCTGCCCCACCGTCCCGTCTGGTCTCCACAGCTGGAGATGACGGTCTGGGAGGGGAGCTGCCCGTGTGGGCAGTGTTGGTTGGATGAATCACAGATGGACGGAGGCCTGGGGGCTGAGGGGGCAGGCCCTGAGTCAGGTGTGCACTGGCGTCCCCTGGTGGACAGCAGATCTCACAGTGGTCCCTGGAGTCCAGTGTGGAGCTGGGAGCCAGCGCCCCGGGGCCGTGGCCTGCAGGGTGGGGGTCAGGGAGACCACAATGGTCTGTCGGTGCTAGATCCCAGGGCTGGGCCCCTCCAGACCGTTCGGGGCTGCTAGGCCCGAGGTCTCCCATGGGACAGCCGGGATTCCACAGGCCCAGGGCAGGCAGCCGTGTCCTTGGGCGGCCCGCGACCTCCGCTCCAGGATTGGCTCTCGGTCCGGTGGGACTGTCCCAGGCTGCAGGGGCCGGGAGGAAGCGGGAACGCACGCTGGCCTGGAGCCCTCCATCGCCACAACTGACTTGGAAACAGCAGCAGAGGCAGGGCCGGGCCGGGCGAGGGGAGACGGAGGACCCTGGGGGCTTCGTGCCACGATTGCCCCTGGCCTTCCCTGGCCTTGCACCCGGGGGTGCTCCCCCATCCTCCTCCCAGCCTGCAGAAGGAGGGGAGCCAGGAAGGCAGTAGCAAGGGCCTCTCTGAGGTTTTTTTGGCAGCCTTTGCCCTGGCTGGCCATTCCTGGGGTCACCGCTCCCGAGGCCAAGGCCCGGGCAGCTAGCCCAGGGAGGGGTGTGGATCTGAACTTGGGGACGGGATTTGGGGTTTGGCAGTAGAGGTTGCTGGTAGCGGGCTGCGGGGTGAGGGTAGGGAGGTGTTCAGGGTCTGGAGAGACCCAGTCCGTGTCCTGGGATGCAGGAATCGGGGAGTCTGTGGGGACCCAAGCTGGACCCGATTCCTCCCCCTAAGGAGTCTATGTGCTTTGGAACTTCTGGAACGTTCCAGAAATTTCCGTGTGAGTCGGTGGCCTGTGTTGTTGTTGTGTCCAGCTTGTGTTTTGGTCGTTCCAGCTCAGCCTCTGACCGTCCCCCCCACCCACACACACACAAACTTGGGGCGCCAGGGGCTGCCTTGAGCCTCAGAGTGGGGACCCTGTGCCCCGTGGCACAGCTGTGTGGATTTAATTAATCTCTATTCATGGGTTATAGAGGGGTCCTTTTCTTTTTTTATTTAAGACTTCTGTATTTGAGAGAGCTGAGTTTCGAGGGGGTGGGGCAGAGGGAGACAGAAAAACAGGGAGAGATCTTCCATCTGTTTGTTCATTTCCCAGATGGCCACAATGGCCGGGGCTGGGCCAGCCAGGAGCCAGGAGCCAGGAGCTCCTTCTGGGACTCCCACGTGGGTGGCAGAGACCCAAACAGTGACCCCCGGGGGATGCCAGCTGCTGTGCCAGTCCGCTGGCCGCTGTCGGCCACTTCTGCCACAGTCATGTTCTCGCAGGCCTGATGCTGGTCTGTCTCCCGGGTCTGCACCTGGCTTTCGGGGTTCTCTCGTCATCACCGCTCACGGAAACGGCGGCCCTGGTGGGTGCTCACGGCAGGCTGTGCAGGTCATGACTAAAAAGAGGCCAGTGCTAGCTTATTTGTTTGAAGTTAAAATAATTGTTTCAGAAAGATTTGATTATTGGGCCCAGTGTGGTAGCCTAGTGGAAAAATCCTCACTTGTCTTGCGTGCGCCAGGATCCTATGTGAGCACCGGTTCATGTCCCGGATGTTCTAGTTTCCACCCAGCTCCCTGCCTGTGGCCTGGGAAAGCAGTGGAGGACGGCCCAAAGCCTTGGGACCCTGCACCTGCATGGGAGACCCTGAAGAGGCTCCTGGCTCCTGGCTTTAGATCAGCTCAGCTCTGGCCGTTGCGGTCACTTAGGGAGTGAACCAGCAGAAGGAAATTTTTTCTGTCTCTCCTTCTCTCTATAAATCTGCTTTTCCCATAAAATAATAATAATAAAAAAACTTAAAAAGTTTTTGATTATTAGAAAGCAGAGTTAGAAGAGGCAAATCTCCCATCTAGTAGCTGGCAAAGCCAGGAGCTCCATCCGGGTCTCCCAGGTGGGGAGCGGGAGCCCAGTGCTTGAGCTGGGCTCAGGGGTGGCCTGCCGTGGGGAGGGACGCTGTCCCCGATTCCTGCCAGGGCTTTGCTGGGCGCCTCGAGGCTGTGGCCGGGCACCCTGAGTGGAATGTGGGTCCCTCCTGACGAGTCAGCTGCGTGCCGTGTGTGGCCTTGGGGGCCCGGGTCGGGCACGTGGGGACGGAAGCTGGAGGAGAATGGGTCTCCACCTCCCTCGTGCTCGCGTCCCGTGAGGGTGCACGAGGCAGGGGGGCGTGCTGTGGCGTTCTGGCCTGGGGCTGGGACCCCCGCCCCACCCTGCCCTGCTACAAACACAGACCCTGCTGTGTCCCCCAGAGCCACCGAGGTTCATTAAGGAACCCAAGGACCAGATCGGGGTGTCCGGGGGAGTGGCCTCCTTCGTGTGTCAGGCCACGGGCGACCCCAAGCCACGGGTGACCTGGAACAAGAAAGGCAAGAAGGTGAACTCACAGCGCTTCGAGGTGAGTCGGGCTCAGGGTGGGGCGGGCTCGGGAGGACCAGGCCACCCCACAGATGGGCAGGCCTGACACGGTCACAGCACACACCCACACGCTCCCCCAGCCCACACGCACGTGGCCGTCGTCCCCCTGCACGCCTCGGGGTGTCTGCCCCCACACAGCCCCGGGTCCACGGTGAGGGTGACCTGCAGCCCAGCCGAGAGTGGACGGGCACCTGGCCGGGACCCCCAGCCTCACCCAGCACCCGACCCACCCGTGACAGACGATCGAGTTTGATGAGAGCGCGGGGGCCGTGCTGCGGATCCAGCCCCTGCGCACGCCCCGGGATGAGAACGTGTACGAATGTGTGGCCCAGAACTCGGCCGGGGAGATCACTGTCCACGCCAAACTCACCGTCCTGCGAGGTGTGTGCGTGGGAGGGGCGGGGCCTCCCGGGGTGGGTGGGGCTGTGGCTGGCAGGGGCGGGGCCTTCCTGGGTGGGTGGGGCTGTGGCTGGCAGGGGCGGGGCCTCCCGAGGTGGGTGGGGTGGCGAGCAGGGCTGGCTGGCAGGGGGGGTCTCAGGTGGTGCAGGAGCCAGGACTCGATCTGGTGCTCATGGGGGACACAGGTCACAGGCCTGGTGCAGCCTGGCGGCCGTTGCCTGCACTTAGGGTGTGGATCTGCAGGTAGAAGCTTGTTCTCTCTGCTCTCAGTAGCTTTTTTTTTTTTTTTATTAAGGAATTGAGGCAAAAGTCGAACTTATTTTAGTGCAGTAAGGAATTTGAACTCCAGGATTTGTTCATAATTTTGTTTTCTGGGTACATTGTGAACAGGGGCCACAGCTCAGGGAAGGGTCTGCAGCGCCCCCTCGGGCAACTCCAGGTATGACAGGTCTGGAAAGGGTGTCTGTAGCGCCCCCTCGGGCAGCTCCAGGTAGGACAGGTCTGGAAAGGGTGTCTGTAGCGCCCCCTCGGGCAACTCCAGGTATGACAGGTCTGGAAAGGGTGTCTGTAGCGCCCCCTCGGGCAGCTCCAGGTAGGACAGGTCTGGAAAGGGTGTCTGTGGCGCCCCCTCGGGCAGCTCCAGGTAGGACAGGTCTGGAAAGGGTGTCTGTAGCGCCCCCTCGGGCAGCTCCAGGTATGGCAAGTGAGGAAAAGGTGACCACTGCCCCCTCAGGCAGCTCCAGCCATGACAGCTCAGGAAAGGATAGCCACAGCGCCCCCTGGGTCAACTGTGGGTATGGCAGCGTTCCTGTATAGCCTGTGGGAGCCGAGAGGTCTCTGCTCCCTGTAGGAACCTGGTCTTGAGGGACTGAGCCATGGCAGCTCTCAGCAGGAGGGGTCCCTGGAGGAGCTTCCTCTAGTGTCCTTGGGGACAGCAGGAGATGGCACAGAGTGTCTGAGGGAAAAACCCCCTTTAGACTGGGAGACCAGCATTGCCTTCCCATGCTGTCACCTCGGCCCCCAGTCTAGAAAATCTGTAAAGTAGGGTTGGCATAGTGCATTGGGCCAAGCCACTGCTTGCCCCAATGATACCCCATGTGGAAAGCAGTGGAATTCAGGCCAAGTGCTTGTGTCCCTGCCACCCACATGGGGAGACCCAGATGGAGCCCCTGGCTCTGGGCTTCAGCCGGGCCCAGCCCTGGACTTTGTGGCCGCTGGGGGAGGCAGCCAGCAGGCGGGAGTGCTTTATGTGTCTCTGCTTCTCACTCTGACTCTGCCTTTTGAATAAACAGATCTTGAGAAAGATCCTACAGTTTGATTGCATGTACTGCTGTTGTAGTTGAGAGATTATTTTTTAGTGTTTTTATTTATTTGAGAGAGAGCAAGAATGCATGTGTTCCAACCCACTGGAACACACCGCAAATGCTCCCAGTGGCCAAGCCAGGAGCCTGGAGTTCCATCAGGGTCTCCCATGAGAGTGTCAGGGACCCATTGCTTGGGCCGTCCTCTGCCGCCTCCCACAGTGTGTGTGCACAGGGAGCTGGGGCTGAACCATAAGCCCAGGAAGCACAGCGTGAGGGTACGGAGTTTCGCCAGCTCTCTTTGACATTGTCTGCCACCTCCAGTAGAGATGACCACTGTCTGATGGCAGTGGGGGGTGGGGAACGTTGCCTTTCCAGCCTGCAGGCCCCCCCCCATTGTTGGTCCTAACATTAGCAAGGACCAGTTGAATCCAGTCATGGAGGGACCTTTGGGTGTGGGGTAGGGAGTGAGGGATTTGACCTACGCCTAACTCCTTCCATGTGTGTTCCCCAGACCTGGGCAGTGGGGGCTGAGGACTGGGAAGGCACTGCGGGTCTCCCCACTAGGCCGTGGCTGCTCACCTCCCACCTCCCGGTGCCTCCGCCATCTGATTATGGAGCCCATGCACGCCTGCCTCCCTCGCTGTTGTTTTAATTAAGCTCCGAGGATTCGGGCACAGAGCGCTCTGCCGCGAACATTGCTGTTTAATTAAACGAGCTCTGGTAACAGTGGTGGCGGCGGCAGCAGCCTGGCCCCCACATGCAGGCGGTGGTGGCTGCCCACCCACGCTCTCAGCGACCCCTCCCACACACACCCCACCTCACCCCACTCCATCGCTAAGGCAGTGGGTAGCTTCACACTTGTATGAGCCATGGGTGCAGGGACATACACGGGCGCATGCACACACTGCAGACCTAGGAGTACTGCCACCTTACCGTGCACACACACACAGACACACACACTCTGCCACTGTCTCCCAGACCCAGGCAAGGACAGGCAGGCAGGGTGGCTGGCCATTAGGATGCCCACGTCTTAGTTCTGCTTCTAGTTGGAGCTGCTGAAGCTGTCGGCTGGTGGGGGAGGCCACAGTCGGGACTGGGCCAGGCGAGAGCTGAACGCTAGGTCTCCATGTGGGTGGCCCAGGTCCTCCCCCCCCTCCCCAAGCACAGAAGCCACCATAGCCAGGAGGAGTGTCCTGAGGGGGGGGCGGATCCTGCTGCCCCACCCACCCCACCCACTGTGGCAAAATGGGCTGTGGGGCTGACCAGGGCTCCAACAGTGGGCGCCCACAGGTCAGCTGCTGGGCCCGGGCTTCATTCCAGCCAGGAACACAGAGTTTATTGTCCCTGCCTCGCCCCTCCACCCCCACCCCGTTACTTTCCAGGACCCCCGAGGCTGGGGAGTGCCTCGGCCAGGTGCCATGGCCCTCCAGGGTGAAGTCAGTCATTGGGACATTGGGCACCCACTGTGTGCTGGACCTCATGCAGGTTCCCTGAGCAGCTAGTCCAGGCTCTAAAGAAGACCCTCAGGGCCCCCGGGGATGGGATCAGGGGATGAGGAGCCTGTCCATGTCCTGTCAGGACACACCCACAGCGAGCTGAGTCAGGAACAAAGGAGGGTCCCTTCCAGCTCCCCCCTTCTGCCCCCTGCCCACATGGCATGTGGGCACCTCAGCTGCCAATCTGGCCCCAAAAACCAGAACTTTAAGGAAAGAGGGGACGCTGTGTGGCTTAACTAGAGCAAGGCCCACTGGGGTGTGCCAGGGGGGGTCTATCATGTGCTTTGCCTGTTCCCCCACACACACCCTCATGGCACCCCCACACATACCCTCATGGCAGTACATACCCCGTCCCCTATACCTGTCCAGTGGCCCCCTGGCTGAGGATGGGCAGCTGACAGGTGCTGCGCATGTCTCCAACAGAGGACCAGCTGCCCCCCGGCTTCCCCAACATCGACATGGGCCCCCAGCTGAAGGTGGTGGAGCGTACACGGACGGCCACCATGCTGTGCGCCGCCAGCGGCAACCCCGACCCTGAGATCACGTGGTTCAAGGACTTCCTGCCTGTTGATCCCAGTGCCAGCAATGGGCGAATCAAGCAGCTAAGATCAGGTGAGTGGGTGGCAGCGTGGGGCACAGCCCACGTTGGGGAAGCTACAGAGTGTCCACACGCTATGGTGTCCACATCTATGGTGTTGCCTGTGGGGCCGAGAGGAGGCCCAGCCAGGTAGAGGTGATCAGAGGAGCTGGCCAAGGGAAGGCCTCTCATACCTGTGCGTGGCGGGGACAGGCGGATGAGTGCGTGCAGTGCCCAGACGGGCGGCCACATGCCCGCAGGAGGGACTAGGAGGCGAGCACGCCTCCGCAGGCCGTGGAGAGCTGGCCTCCTGGGCTTGATCGGGAAAGGCGATCGGGCAGGATCAGGCAGCGTCTGGGCGTGGCTCCCGTGCAGCCTGCCTACATCCCCTCCCCTAGCAGGAGGGAGGGGTGTGTGTGTGTGTGTGTGTGTGTGTTGTGTTGTGTTGTGTTCTGTCGCCGTCCCCTCCCTCCTGTCTCCCGTGTGTGCCTGTCTGCCCTGCCTGGGCGGGCCTGACCCTCTGGCAGACACAGTACTTTCTCGTGCGCCTGCACCCTTGGGGTGGTGACTCAAGCACTGCATTCCATCTGGCAGCCATGCGTGGGGGGACACGGGTGGCCGTGTGCACCCTCCGCCTCCCAACCCCGGCATGTGGTCGGGACGCGTGACGGGCCCATGCGTGTACCACACTAAGCACTCTCCCTGTCTCTGCTCCCTGAGTCTCCCTGCCTCGGCAGGACCCCATCCCTCTGCGGGCCTGCCCACTCGGCCCTGCCGAGACCTCATGCCCTGCCCACTCTGCCACCCTGCAGCCCCAGGCATCTCCCTGGTGGGACGAGGCCAAACGCCCAGCCCTTAGCCTGGAGACCCAGGACCCTTGTCTAGGGGCTCCGATCCCCCACCCACCCACCCCCAGCTCCATTTCCTGGAGTCGCTCACCTACACCGAGCCTGTCTCCCAGCCTGTCTCTCACCTGTCTCTGAGCAGTCCCTCTGATGTCCTGGGACGCAGGCTGCTCCCGTGCCCATGGCCGTGTCGCTGTCCCCTGTCCCCTGCCGGTGAGGGCTCCAGGCTCTTGCCACTCGGTCGTTAATAGGCCTGTTCTCTCTCCTTATCCCATCTGTTGTAACGGCCCAGAGACCTTTGGTAAGTGCGACCCTCCTTTCTGCCACGTGTCGCTCACTAACTCCTGCTCCCCTACACTAACCGTTGCCCTGATGGTGACCGGGCCCCACTCCACGTGGCATGCTCAGTGTCCACTAACACTGCCTGCCCCGCCCTCCCCAGAGAGAAAAGAGGAAACAGCCAGAACCCCGCCAGCCCCAAGGGGGGCGCTGGCCAGACCTCAACGTGCAGCACCCCACTCACACACACACACATACACACACCTGCCTCAGGGGGTCCTTAGCCCTGTTGGGAAAAGACTAGGTTTCCAGTTTGGGGGCTCTGCAGGCAAGCCTGGGCAGTTTTCCAGCCAGCTCATTGTAGGGAGTGGAGGTGGGGTGTCACTTCCTTTTCTGGGTGTCCATCCTGAATCTTGCCACAGAGCTGATTCTTACTTAAGTGAAAGTGGCTGATGGCCCCTGGCGTCCCGGCCCCCCCCCGCCTCCCCAGCGTGCCTAAACCAGGACTGAGAGCAAGTCTGGTAGCCGTGGCGGCTGAGTGAGGCACGTGTTTCCTGGAGCAGGCAGGCTAAGTGGATGCAGGCGGGCCGGGAGCTGTGAAAGAATGTCAGAGACGTGCAAGCCATGGGTGAGGGGTAATCCAGGGTCTCCGGCATCTTCCTTCACGGCCGACACTAGGGGACCCCCGGGACAGCAAAGATAACCCTTTCCTCTTTTCCTTTGGGTCATGGCAAGACCTCCAGTCCTCCTCCTCCCCTCAGCCCCCCTTTGTGCCCCTGCCCACCCTACCCTGTCAGCCTGTGTGTGACACCCGCCCCCCCGAGCTTCCTGTTTGGTCCAATCCTGGCCACTAACCCCTCCTGGCCTGCCCCACCCTCCTCTCTAACAAGATTCCCCACACCCGCCCCTTCGCCATGCTTCCCGCCCTTCCTCTGCTGGCTCAGAGGGAGGGTGGCCGCCACCTTCAGGCAGGCCTCCTGGCCAGCCACCCTCAGACCCCTGGCCCTGCTCTCTGGGGAGGGCTGCTCAACTAAGCCTGCAGCATCTGTAAGCGACCCCCCACCCCCCAGCTGGGGCCACCCACCTCGTCTGGCACTGGCCTGGGCCGGCCTCCTCGGAGCCCCCCCACTTCCTCCCTCCCTGGCCCTGTGACTGGCGTCTGACACTTACCGGCCTGTCTCTGCTTCCCTTACAGAGAGTACTCCAATCCGAGGTAAGAGGCTCTGAACGGCCCCACACACTCTCGCTGCCCTCAGACCCTTGCCCGCCTGCCCCCTCCCCATCCCGTCTAGTCTCTGTGTGTCTTTGTCTGTCCAGGCGAGGCACTGGCCCTGGGGAAGGGGCCGTGTCACTCGGTGCACCTGTCCCAGGGGTTGGGAGCTGGTGCCTGCCAAGCCCTCCTCTGCGGTTGGGCCACCTGGGAAATGAACGTGCTATATAGTGGGCCCCTTACCCCAGCCTGGGGTGCGGGTGGTGGGGTGGGGTCCCCTCTGGGCTTCGTCCTGTGATAGGTGCCCCCCACTGCCACGACTGGGACTCCTAAGTGACAACCTGCCCATGTGTGTGTCACACTTACGGAACAGAGAGTAGCTGGGGGAGAGCGTGGCTTGCTGGGGACCTCGAGGTGGCTGTACGTGGCTCAGCTGGGGCACAGCCCAGCTTCCGGGGGCCCTCAGGGTGTCCACAGCTCAGCCTCTCCACACCCCGTGGCCTCGGGATTCGGCCCTGTCATACAGTGATGGGTCTTACTGAAGCTTGTTATCCCCGGAGAGGAATCTCTCATTTCCTGGGGGGGAGACACTGGCCAAGGAGCACCGGAGATAATTGGATGCCTGTGACCTCCCCATAGCTCCGCTGGGGTTCCCGACAATGATGCAGGGCTTAGGACCACCGCTGTGAGCTTGGGAGTCTGCTGGCTCTCTACACTGGCTGGGCCCCAGGAGCTCCATCTGGGCCGCCCTCGTGGGTGGCAGGAACCCAGGATGGGGATGGCCATATTCTGCTGTGCGCGTTAGCAGGGAGCTGGACTGGAAGCGGAGCAGCCAGGGGGCTCGAACCTAGAATGCTGGTGGCCCCTCTCCTGGCTGCCAGGGGCTGGGGATGGGGGAGCCGTGAGCTGGGGCTCCCCCACAAGGTCTGCCTCTCTGAGACCCTCTCAGGCCGGACCCACTCCCACCCCTGCTGACTGCCTGAGCCTTCTGTCTCCTCTCCCCAGGGGCCCTGCAGATCGAGAGCAGCGAGGAGACGGACCAGGGCAAGTACGAATGTGTGGCCACCAACAGCGCCGGTGTGCGGTATTCGTCCCCGGCCAACCTCTACGTGCGAGGTAGGGAGCTCCACGGCCAGGTCGGAGGCAGGGACCCTCCCGCCCCGTCCCCCACCATCATCCCGCATCCCTGGGGCTCACAGCCTCCGGGCTCCCCCCCATCTCCCCTGAAGACCGGAGCGGGAAGGCCCCTTCCCCAGTGGCGGTGGCGGTGGGGACATCAGCGCCCCCTCGTGGGCCTTGTGGGTTCCCTTGTCTTACCACGGATACAAGTTCTGTGCCTGGAGGGGAGGCTGTGGGCGGTGGGGTCGGAGGGGGTGGAGGTGGGGCCGGGGTTTGAGGGTCAGTCTTGGGCCTACAGGGCTGTGGGGGGGAGCATGCAGGCTTCGGCCCCAGCCCCACCCCACCCCAGTCAGCTTCTGTGGTGTAACCGTGCCTTCCCGTGTCGTGTGCTGGCTCTGCTTCTCCAAGTTTCTGTGGCCTCGTAGCTCCCTGCTTGTTCACCACCCACCCGAATCTAGTACCCTTGAGCTCAAAGCTGGGGGAGGCAGGGGTCTTCAAGGCTGGGCCCCTCCTCGCCCACGGCCTCTCCCCTTGAGTGTCCCAGAGCCCACCCCTAGGACAAAGGCCACCCTGAAGGGCAGTGGTGGGGTGCACTGCCCGTGACGTGGTGATGGTAGCAACTGGTCCACTCTTGGTCCACAACCCGGCCCTGAGAAAGCCGCCTCCTTGGAGGGGTTGGGGGGGTGTCCCTCGGGATCCCCCAGCCTCGTCTGTCTCTGTGGGCACACCTGAACCTTCGTCTTGGCTTTAGGCTTCCCTGGCCCCATCACTCCCCTGTGGTCCCCGACTCCCGACAGCTGGTTCTGGTCAGACTGTGATGAGGGGCGCGGCTCCTCCTGCAGCCGCCCCCCACCCCCCCACCCCCAGAAGCTCTGGGAGCTAAGCTTGTCCTCTCTGTGGTCACGGAGGCCTCAGCTGACCCCTTGTGCTCCATCCCCCTCCACCAACCCCCTCCCCCAGAGGCTGCCTAGGGGCTCCTCTTACCCACAAGACCCCCACCGCCACTGCCCCTGTCCACGCCATCCATGACTCCCACTGGCCTCAGTGACATTTGGGATCTGGACTCGATGATCTGTCTGGCCTCAGAAGGCACCTGTGGAGGGGGAGGGGCGGGGCCGGGGAGGTGGGCGTGAGCGAGGGTGGTGGGTGGTGGGGGGCTCCGCCAGGCTGCACCCTGGTGAGTCGTAATGTAGTGGTGGTGGTGGTGGTGGTTGTGGAGGTGGAGGCAGTGGAGGTGGTGGTCCTGGCTGACCACTCCGTCTCACTGTCTGATGTCTCTGCCGAAACTTGGGGTGCGACCGTTGTGAGCGTGTGAGTGTGGCAGGGCTGCAGACAGGCTGGTGGGTCGTGAGGGCGGGGAGGACCTCGTATCCCTTGGCCCGCCCCTCCCACCCGAGCACCTGCCGAGCCACCTTCCTCCCGTGGCGGTGAGGGTGCTGCGGGCGGCCTCGCAGCCTGGACCTGGGCCTCAGTTGCTCTGCACTGAATTGAGGAAAGAAATGAGAAAAGCTGCCAGTGGTGGCTGTGCGTGCGTGCGTGCGTGCGTGTGCGTGCGTGTGCGCGCGTGTGTGCGGGGGTCAGTGTGAAGGTTGAGAAAGAGGAAAGGATCGTTGCTGTTCTTTTTATTTTTTAATTTGAATTTTTTGTTTTTTGATTTAAAGAGAAAAATCATACTAATCAAGCAGGCGGTTGCAGGTGACGGGCTTGGGAAGTCCTCTTTTACTCTCTGTATCTCCCCTATTTTTTTCTCTTCTTCCCATGTCATTGTGTCCGCATCCAATCCCCTTTTCCATCCCTCAGAACTTCGAGAAGGTTGGTGTGTTTTTTTCCTTTTTACTTTCTTTACCCACATTTTTACATTTCTGCGAGATGACACGCACGCACACACACACACACACACACGTAACACACACTGACATACCCGGGTGCGCGCGCGCGCACACACACACACACACACACACACACACACACACACACCCAGACACGCACATGGAAAACGAAGCAAAGCAAAAAATTTGAAAAAGTCTGGAGTGTGTGGCGGATACGCACACCACAAACAAACAAAAACAACAACAAAAAATAAATGCCAACCGAGAGCAAAACCCAGAAAGACACGAAATTCTGAACCGCGCCCAGCCCGGCCCAGGGCCGGCCGCACACACGCGATGCTTGCCTTGTCTCCTCTGCATCCGTTTGGTAACGTTGTTGCTAAGTTCTTGCACTCCTCGTCGTCATGGTAACTTGGGCCTGATGCATGCTGGGAGAATGTATGACAGTTTCTCTGCATGCCACTCTTGTCTTGGTTTGGTGAGTTCCCGGCAACCTTCCGTGGGAGTGTTTCTTCCTCTTTTGTTGTTGTTGGTTGTTTTTGTTTTGTTTTCCTTTCTTCCTTTTCGTTTCCTTTTTTTTCTTTTTTAGTGTTTTTTTTTTTTTTTTGTGAGGGGGGAGGAAGGGGTTGATGGGTTTTTTTTTCGCCCTCCGTCCCACCCCTCCCCTTGCTCCCCGCCTCCCCCAGAGTGCGTCGGCTCTGGCTGTGTCTCGTCTGCGTGCTGTTTGGTCTCCGTTCCTGGGCTGAGCTGCTGCTGTGTGGGCTGTCCTCAATGCATTGTGAACCCCAAGCCAGTGTTCCTGTGTCAGACACGGCCCCGGAGGGCGGGAGGGAGTCCCACAGCTGCGATGCCTGGGTAGGAAGTGACTGTCCGGGCTAGGCACATGGCCGCTGGGGCCCAGAGGAGGGGTGTGCCGCCAGCAGGTCCACTCACCTGAGCCCTCTTCCCAGGGCCGCTCCAGGTTGGCCACACTGGAAGGGAGCTGAAGTGAGGGTGGGTATTGTTCCTGACACTGGTTTCCGCAGTCCAGCCAGGTAGACCCCAGCCTCCCGAGTCATGCCCGGGTCAGGGGAGCATCAGCATGACCTGGGGTTAACGGTGGAGACGCCGTCCCCATCCCTGGCCACCATGTGTCTGGCCCCTGGTGCGTACAGTGACAGCTGGCATGATGACTTGGTGTGTCCTGGCTGGGCTCACATCCAGAGCTTTCCATCCGAAAACAGAACACAACAGATACTGGAAGTGGCACTTGGCCCAGAGTGCAATGCCTCCTCCTCGCAGACGCTGCTGGCTGCTCCCCCATGCCTCTAACCCCCCTGTCCTCTAGCAGGCTCTGGGCCCAGGCGCTGCCATTGTCTGTCTAGCCCCACAGCATGGTCACTTTCTGAATACCTGAACATCAGAGCTGTGGAATTCTGGGAAGAAAAAAAGAAAACCAGGGATGCCTCGGACATAGCTTCTCCCCTCTCTGTTCCCAATCTTCCCCTCTGCTCTGCTCTCCTCTCCTCTGCTCTGCTCTCCTCTGCTCTCCTCTGCTCTCCTCTCCTCTGCTCTCCTCTGCTCTCTCTCTCTCCTTCTCTCAGACCTATAAAGCTGCATTCCTTCATCTTGTGCTGCTTCTCGAGAAAGGGCACAGCCCCAACCCCCGTGAGAGCCATCCCTCGCCCCAGTTAGAGCTGCTGTATTTCTGGCCCCAGCTCACTGCTCAGCTCGCGAGAGAGGACAGCCTCCTTGCAATTGCCCTCCACCCGCCCACCTTCTCTTTCCTCATCAACCCAGTGTGGGCGCTGCCATGCTGGCCCTTGGAGAACCCTTAGAGGGTTAGGAATTGGAGGAGGGGGTCTTCTTGGAGCCCTTCCACTGATCTTAGGTCCTGGTGGCATGGAGCCGGACAGGGGTGAGAACTTTGGTCGGGCGGGGAGAAGGGGGCAAGACTGTGCAACAGGCTCTGGGCTGGGATGGATCTGGACTCCAGCCCCCATCTTCCGTCCCTCCCTGGCTGTCCTTGGCATTCTTGGTGTCCCTGAAGGATGCGTGAGATACCATGTGGAGCAGCCACTTTGGAAAAGCTGCTCAGGGCAGAAACTGCTCCCTTTGGCTCAAACCTCATGTCCTCCTGGCTCAGTCCCCACCATCTGCTCCCCTCCCCAACCCCCTGCTGATACCCCCAAAGCCACACTGGTAGCCTGCCATCCACCCCACTCCCCTCAGGAAGCCCAAGAGGTATGAAGGGGGTAGTCAAGGCCCCAGCAGCAGAGCTAAGCTAACCTTGCAGATAAGAACCAGCCCGATTCTAAAACGCTGGGCTGCCCAGGCTGTTGGCCTGGAAAGCAACAAAATTTACAATGTTACCAGTGGATCCCCTCCTGTGGAGGCAGGCAGGCAGCTCTGCCCCAGGGATACATTCATTTTAATCCTTTGAAATGTTTCTTCTGAGCTCCACCCCTCCCCATGGGGGCCGCAGTTGGGGTCAAGGGTTGGGGATATTTATTCCACTGGCCTTTCTCCTCCCAAGGGCAGCCTCCTAGATCTGTGAGCACCTGAGTTAGCTAAAGCTGCATGTCCCGAAGTTCCCTGAGTGCACTGACCAGAGGGCACGTCTCCTCCCCACCCCGCCCCAGCAGTCTCCAGCTGTGAGTTAGAACTGGCTGCCTTTTGGCACTGGTCTGCCCCAGGCCATGTCTGAACCGAGGCACCCAGAGCCTGGTTAAACTGTGCCTGGCTCCCCTTTCCTCCGCCCCGCCTGCCCCTCTGCCCAGGGCTGTGGGGGCACACAGGGAGAGCTCTGCGGGTAGTAGGCTGAGCTAGGGAGTGTGGGAGCCGCTGCCAGGAAGAGCTGGATTGCCCCGTTTCTGGGTCATCCTCTGTGGACTAGAACCTTTCGACACCCAAGCCCTAGAGCTGATGGGAAGGGAGGACCCCCTAGGTACACCTCCTCCAGTTACTGTCACCCCACAGTGGGTAGGCACGAATCTGGAGCTAAGAACACCCCTCACCTCCAGTACCCCCAGCATTTCCTGGGGTGCATTGAGTAACCCCCACTTCCTGCTCACCAAACCAGGAGCCGTGAGTTCCCTCCCGCTCCACCTGCCTCACCCTCCCAGCCACAGTCTTGGCCTTGACCACGTATGGGCTAGGCAGACGTTCTCATCTCACCTCCACCTGGCGGGGGCCGCCCCACGGGAACACTGTGCACACTTCGCCTGCTGCCTGCCCCCCTCCCCTCGCCCGGCATTGCTGTCTCCTCTCTGGGGGTGGGGGAGGGGAAGACTAGATTACACCTGGTCATTTGGGAAGCGCACACCTCCCTCCGCCACCCCCACCTCGCCCCTAGGCTGGTGGCCAGAGAGTGAAGGCCAAAGGGGAGAAGGAGCTGGGCACCAAGGAAAGAAAATCCGTGATTTATTAAAAACCACAGCGAAAAGTCCAGCATCGAGGCATTGCCAAAGCCTGCAGGGCAGGGGAGGCGGGATGTGTGTGTGGTTGGGGGGGTGGTGAGGGGGTCCAGGTCCCTGCAACACTAGCTGGCTTATTAGCTAGCTGTTGGCTGCTGGAGGGAGCTGGCAGTGGGAGAGGCGAGGCAGGCAGGAGCGGCTGGGGAGTGGGGGACAAGGCAGGTGCAGAGGGCAGGCCAAGGGGGTGCTGCCCGCCCACCCTGGGCCCGCGGCTGGGGTTCCAGGCCCTTGCGCACCCCTCCCACCCACCCCCCACTTCCCTGACAGGTGTAATCTAAGCTTAAATAACCCCTGGCAAGGCTGCATCCACCCTGGCTTCTCCCTTCCCCCGCTCCCTGCACCTGTATATCCATTTTGGCGTTTGGAGAAACCTCTGCAAGTTTCTCTCACCCCAAAATGCCTGGCAGAGCCCCCCTTCCCTGGGAGCTGTGGCTTGCTGAATCGCGCTGGCACGCACTGTGGCTCGGCGCCCGGTGCTTCAACCAGACCACCTCACGTTGCAGTTTCCTCCCTCCCTCCCTCCCTCCCTCCTCCCTGCACCTGCTCCCACCCCCCCCCACCGCACCCCTCTCTCTGTTTTGTTTTTATAATTTTTTTGTTGTTAAGTTTTTGGTTTTTGATTCTGTGCTTTCTCCAGCCCAGGAGAAGGGTTTATCTCTACTTTGGATGGTTTGTGAGTTTAGGTTTTGGGTTTTTTTGTTTTGTTTTGTTTTTTTGTTTTTGTTTTTGTTTTGTTTTTCCATGTGAATCGGGGTTTGAAACCACCACCACCTACCCCTTCTGCCCCCTGCCACGCTCCTCCTCCTCCTTCTGCCCCCTCCCCTGGCCCATGAGGTGGGGGGGTCCCTCCCCTCCTGGCCACTTGGCGAGAAGAGCCGGATCGCAGGGCCAGCTGCAGCGAGCTGAGAAGCACGGCTGGTACAGCCCCTCATAACCCCCGCCTGGAGCCCACGTTCAGGTCGGTAATCGGGGGCGGGCTCCTGTGGGCTCCGCGCCCACCTGACGTCACTTGCACCTCCAGCTGGCAGCCAGGGGTGGACCGAGGCTGCGGGCGGGTGCCAGCAACCAAAAACCAGGGCAGAACACAGGTAGCCCAGCCTTCCGTCCCCCTGGCCTGGGCCCCTAGGGCTGGTCCCAGCCGCACGGCAGCCGGACAAGGGGGGCGGTCCTCCTGGAACTCGGGGCGAGCCAGCCCCCCTCTTCCTGCAGCAGGACCTGGAGGAAGCAGAGGAGGTGGGCAAGGGCCGCTGGCCATGCGTGGAATCTGTGTCAACAGGTGACAGCCCACGTTAGCCATACTGTGGACAGCCTTGTTACAAAGATGTGTGTACTTCAAAAAAGGGGCAGCTGCATGTGGCGTTAAACCTCCAAATCCCAAAATGAGAGCTTCCCACCTCTGATGGTCCGGCTACCCTGTGGGGTGAGGACCTTGTATTGATGGTCTCTGGACAGATATTATGAGGGCTGCTGGCCATTAGTTAATGAGTAGGGTTCCTCCTCCCTCCCACCCCCATTTTGGGGTCCACAAAATGCATAAGGATGCATACATTTGAAAGAGCTGTACGGTATAGAGGACATTTGGCCCATGGGTTAGAAAAAGCCCATCTAGTCTGATGAGCAGGGGGTCCATGTGGGCCTGGATTTAGGCTCTAGCCACTCCTCCATCTATCTCCCCTTCCCCACCTGCCCAGGGACCCCCAACATTTCCCTGTGTGACCCCCTCCCGGCTCCCCAGGAGCTGTGGTGTCAAGCAAGGCCAGGATGCAATGGGGGTCCCGGCTCCCCAGGAGCTGTGGTGTCAAGCAAGGCCAGGATGCAATGGGGGTCCTTCCTTTAAAAGACAAACTAATTCAGCCCCAGTGTCTGTTACGGCAGCTGGGAGGCGATCTGGCCAGCGCCATGTCCCAGACGGAGTGCCTGCTGTATACCGACTTGGCCATTGTCCAGCAGAGCACCTGTTGTATACCGGGCCCCGCCCCGCCCATTACAAGCCCAGATGGGAAAGAAGGCTTTGGGAGGGTGAGGCTCCACTGCCCTGCCCCCTCGAAGTGGGTGACTGGAGTTTAGGCTCAGCCCTGGCGCACGGGGCAGGGGCAGCAAGGGCTGGGCTGGTTCACCCCGTAGCTGCTTCCTCCAGGAGGGTCCCACTGCTGCGGGCGGGCCCCCTCGGACCCGGGCCAGGCCCTGTGTGTTCTGCCTGCAGGTGGGCGGGCGGGTGGCCGGTGGGGGAGACCCCGGGAAGCCCCCCGACCCTGTCCTTTCAGACCCCGATTTTCAGCTCCCCCGCCCCCACCCCACACACCCGTTCACGATGTGTCTTTCTTTGCTTTGGAATTTTTCGTTTTCTTCCTCTTGCTTTGTGGGGTGTTTGTTTTCAGCTGGGGTTTTTGTTGGTTGGGTTTTGGTTTTTCTGGTTTGAGTTGGAGATTCTGCCCTCCCCGCCCTCTCTCTGGTTGCTTTGATCTCCCCGTCCCCCTGTAGTTTGGTTTTTACCATTGTCGTCTTCTGTCCCGGATCAGTGCGCTCCCCCCATCGTGTTCTGTTTCCATGACAACCGCGCGCGTGGGCACACCTTGTTCCCACCACCACCACCACCACCACCACACCGTAACCCCTGCCTCGCTGTGGACACGGGCTGCCGGCACAGGCCGGGTCCGCTGGCCGGATCCAGGGTCTCCCCCAGCTCCCCCATCAGCACCTTCTGTGTCTGTTGGCATGCACGGCCCCGCCCCCTCTCCATCCCATCTCGGCCTCCCCCCGGACTTTTCAGGGGGGCTCCATTTTTTGAAGGATCCCCTCGCAGTAAACCCACCCCCATAAACCCAGAGCCAGGCAGCCAGCCTGGAAGAGAAGGCGGGCACAAGGGTAGCCCTGCCCTAGGCTGCACCCCCAGCCCCACCTGGTGGCCTCTCCCCGCCAAGACCTTAGTCCTGGCTGCCTTATTGGGTCAGGAGACCCCGGTCTCTGTCCCACCCCCCACCCCCCGCCATCCATCCCCGCCGTTGCCCACCCGGGCCCACCCCTCCCTCTCCCTTCTGGAAATGGAGCTCCCCAGCAAAAGGTGCCGCGTGCCCCCTTTTCTCGGTGGATCTGCACCTGCCTACCGCCGACCTGCTGAGAAACGTCCAGAACGTGTTCCCCACCCCACTCATCCCTCCATGGGCCAGCTCATCCCGTGTCCCTTCTGACATGTGAACTCGGGCCCGCGTCTGATCCTGCCAGGGCTGCGATCTGACAATGCGGTTGGTCCCATTGTCACATCCGCTAGGGAGTTCGCTCGGCGGGGGGAGTGGTGGTAGCCCCCTCCTGCCCTAGGCCCCCTCACTCGCTCTGTCTCTCTCTGTCTCTCTGTCTCACTCACTCTCTCTCTCTCTGGCTCTCCCTCCTCTCCCTCCTCTCCCCCGTCCCCACACGCACCTACACACGAGGCCCCTGGACTCTGGCCTTTTCCCCCTCTCGTCTCTCTTGGATCCTACTTTTTGCATGATGTTTGTGACTTGAGAGCTGCATCTACCGATGGAAACTTGTCCGATCCGACAGAAGCTTCTAGAAGAGTTTCTATATGCCAAAAAAAAAAAAAAAAATCAACCACAAAAATTTCATTAACGTTTCTCATCTTTTTTTCCCCTTCCCCGCCCCCTCCGCCCCAGAAGGTCTTTGGGAGGTGGGAAGGGCTGACTTACACAAAGGCAGGAGAGTAGGGGAGGATTGGGGGGGCCCACAGGGCATCATTGCCATGGCCCCCCCGGGGCCCAGCTGTCCCGGCCCCCTTGTCCCCATCCTCCCATCCTCCCTTCTGGACCACGGGAGATCTGGCAGGTCCAGGAGGAGGCCACACTCACATATGACCACACCCCCAGACGAGGCCCCGCCCATGTGAGGGCCGCGCCAGCTTCCCCTTTGGCCTCACAGCAAAGATGAGAAACTGCTGATAAATTTTTGTGTCCCCCCTGTGCTCTGGCCCAGTGACTGGTGGCAGAAACCTTGTCGCTCTAGAATAACGCTTCTTGTCTCGGTATATCTTTCTTACTGTTTGTGAAGTGCCTTCCTTTGGAATTTTCAGTTTTCTTTGCGTTGGAATTTTTTGTTTTTGTTTTTTCCTTTCCTTTGATTTGCTTTGTTTTCATTTGCGGGGCAAGGGGGGAGGGCTGTTCAGCTGGGGTGGGGGGGAAGGCCAGCGCCCTGTTTAAACAGATGTCCCATTCTGTCCCCTCTCTTCTCTCTCTCTCTCTCTCTCTCTCTCTCCTGCTCTGCGCCCTGCCCCACCACCTCCCCAACCCCCAGTCCGCCGCGTGGCACCCCGCTTCTCCATCCTGCCCATGAGCCACGAGATCATGCCAGGCGGGAGCGTCAACATCACCTGCGTGGCCGTGGGCTCGCCCATGCCCTACGTCAAGTGGATGCAGGGGGCCGAGGACCTGACACCCGAGGATGACATGCCCGTGGGCCGGAATGTGCTGGAACTCACCGACGTGAAGGACTCGGCCAACTACACGTGCGTGGCCATGTCCAGCCTGGGCGTCATCGAGGCCGTGGCGCAGATCACCGTGAAGTGTAAGTGGGTGTGTGGCCGTGGGGGTGGCAGGGTGGGAAAGCCACAGTGCACCCCCCGCCTCTGACATTCCCGAAGAACAAATAGACCAGAACTTGGTAAAGCTTTTTTTTTTTTTTTGTAAGAATTATTTTTATTGGAAAGGCAGATTTTCAGTGAGGAAGTGAGGAAGGGACACAGAGAGAAAGATCTTCCATCCTCTGGTTCACTCCCCAAGCAGCCACAGGAGCCAGAGCTGAGCTGAGCTGATTCAAAGCCAGGAGCCTGGAGCTTCTTCCGGGTCTCCCACAGGAGTGCAGGGTCCCAAGGCTTTGGGCCGTCCTCCACTGCTTTCCCAGGCCACAGGCAGGGAGCTGGATGGAAAGTGGAGCAGTTGGGACACGAACCAGTGCCTATATGGGATCCTGGCAGATGCAAGCTGAGGATTTAGCCACTAGGCTACCTTGTCAAGCCCCAGTGTGGAAAAGCTTTGATGGTGGACATTTGGGGCACGCACGGCTCCAGCTGCCTGCTGGGCACCCCCCAGGGGAGGGGAGGGAAAGGGCTGAAGTGCTTGGGCCCCTGCAGCCCCACGGATCAGACCCAGATGATGTGTGCAGCTTCTGGCTGTGGCCTGGGCCGTGAGCCAGCGGGGGGACGAGCCTGCGTGCCTGCGTGCCTGCGTGCGTGCCTGCGTGCCTGCCTCGGCGCTGCAGGGCCGTGCTTGGCTGCCGGCAGCAGGCCGTGCTCAGCAGGGGCGGCTGTGCGGTAGGAAGTGCCTTGGCCACTCACGTAACCCTGCTTCCCCACGCCCTGCCCCGTCCACCACCCCAGCACTGCCCAGAGCGCCAGGGACGCCCGTGGTGACGGAAAACACAGCTACCAGCATCACCATCACGTGGGACTCGGGCAACCCCGACCCCGTGTCGTACTATGTGATCGAGTACAAATCCAAGAGCCAGGACGGCCCCTACCAGATCAAAGAAGACATCACCACGACACGCTACAGCATCGGGGGCCTGAGCCCCAACTCCGAGTATGAGATCTGGGTGTCAGCTGTCAACTCCATCGGCCAGGGCCCCCCCAGCGAGTCGGTGGTGACGCGCACGGGCGAGCAGGCCCCCGCCAGCGCGCCCCGCAACGTGCAAGCCCGCATGTTGAGCTCCACTACCATGATCGTGCAGTGGGAGGAGCCCGTGGAGCCCAACGGGCTCATCCGCGGCTACCGTGTCTACTACACCATGGAGCCCGAGCACCCGGTGGGCAACTGGCAGAAGCACCACGTGGACGACAGCCTGCTGACCACCGTGGGCAGCCTGCTGGAGGACGAGACCTACACCGTGCGCGTGCTGGCCTTCACTTCGGTGGGCGACGGGCCGCTCTCCGACCCCATCCAGGTGAAGACGCAGCAGGGAGGTGAGCCCCGGAAGGGCCCCAGCCGCCTGTGGAAGCAGATGTTTGAGGCTCCGTTGCCACTGCCGCGGTGGGGTGGGTGGGTGCCGGAGAGGCAGCCGTGGCAGACGCCCCCTCTCCCTGTGTCACTTCATTTGCAGGGAGGGGGCGGGAAGAGCGCTCGAGCAGTTGCAAATGGGAATTTTTGTAATCCATGAATTTTTTTTTTTTTTGCCCTATTGGCAGAACAGATCAGGGAGTTGAGATGGACAAGGGGATGGGACGGGTTGGGGGGCGGGGGGCGGGCAAGATTGTTCCTAGAAAAAAAAAAAAGGCCAGAGATGAGAACAGCCGGAGAACAATCTGGAAGCCTTCAGAGTGAGCCAGGCCCCTCTCCCTCCCTCCCTCTCTCCTTCGCTCATCTTGCTGCCCCTGCGTTCTCTCTCTCTCTCTCTCTCTCTCTCTCTCTCTCACCCACCCTCACCTTCTCACCCCAGTCCCGGGCCAACCAATGAACCTCCGGGCTGAAGCCAGGTCGGAGACGAGCATCGGGCTGACCTGGAGCCCTCCGCGGGTGGACAGCATTATCAAATACGAGCTGCTCTTCAAGGAAGGCGACCGCGGTCACGAGGTACTGGGAGGAGCGGGGGAGATCGGGCATGGTGCTGCCAGGGCCGCCCGGGCTGCCCCCCCCAGCCCACACTGACCGTCACCCTGCACTGACGGGCCCGCTGCTGTCCCCGCAGGTGGGCCGCACGTTCGATCCCACGACGGCCTTTGTGGTGGAGGATCTGAAGCCAGATACTGAGTACGCCTTCCGCCTGGCGGCGCGCTCGCCCCAGGGTCTGGGCGCCTTCACTTCAGCCGTGCGGCAGCGCACGCTGCAGTCCAGTACGTGTCCACTGGCCGTGCACCTGTCGCAGGGGGTGGGGGGGCGCCTCTGGCCGGCTCGCCCCCGCCCGTGCCCGGCCCTGGTTTGGTTTGGTTTGGTTTAGTTTGGTTCATTTTGGTGTTCTTTAACCGCCCCCCACCCCACTACAACCCAGCACAGTCAGGGTTGCCCCCTGTGGAGGGTCAGGGTTCTGGGGGGATGAGGAGGGGGTGTGTAGGGACAAGCAGGGGACGGGTCAAGAAACCGCTTTTGGCCATGCCCGCCCCTCCTCCCCGCTCTGGGGGCAGCAAAGCTTAGCGGAGGAGATAGCTCAGCTGTGTCCCTCCCCCTCCCCCAGTTCTTAACACCCCCAAAATGAGCAAGGGAGGGGGCGGAGCCTGGTCAGAGCCCATGCCAGGCCCCCTCACAGGGCCGGCCTGGCCTCCCTGCCCCACGGCCTCCTGCCCGGCCACTGCACCTGCCTCCGGAGTGAACAGGACCCCGACTCCCTGCCACATCTGTCCCCCTCTCTTCTGTGCGGCGTCACCTCCTCTAGCCTCCCTCCCCTGCCTGCACCCGCCTCCCCCCACGTTCTCAGTCAGTCATGGCTCAGCCGCCCCAGGCCTTGTTCCAGAAGCTTCCACATGTGCCCCGGGTGCGTGGACACACGGCTGGTCTCAGAGGTTGTGGGGGCGGGGCGGGGGTTCAGTCGAGGCTGCTGCTGCTGCCAGGGCTTCCGGGTCCCAGGAGACGTGGCCCGCACCCCACCCCTTCCCCGAGCGGGGGCACGTGCGAGATGGAAGTCAGTGAGGGTGGCCTGTGGCCCACGAGGCCGGCAGAGGTGCCAAGGTGAGTACTCCTCGCTGGTGTCAAGTTCACAAACACGGCCCACCCTGCGTGCCTGGCCCCAGCCTGGACCCCACTTGACTGCGGCCGCCTCCCTTCTCTGTCTCTCTCTCTCTCTCTCTGTCTCTCTCTCTCTCTCTCTCTCTCTCTCTCTCTCTCTCTCTCTGACCTGTCCTCCCTCCACCCCACCCACAACACCATCACGCAGGATGGGCTGGATTGTGAAGGACCTGCAGCCGCCTCCCCTCTCTGTCTCTCTCTCTCTCTTTCTCTCTCTCTCTCTCTCTCTCTCTCTCTCTCGTGGCGCCACCACGCGCCCCTGTCCCCCCTCCCACGACACCATGACGCAAGTTGGGCTGGATTGTGAGATGGCTTCGGCCCCCTCCACACCGTGCTCACCCCTCCCACGTCCCTGGGGCGGCCCAGCACACGGGCGGGGAGCCAGCAGCAAGACGCAGGGCCAGGCGTGTCTGTCCCTTGCCCCCCAACCCCAGGGCGTATCGATCGCTTACATGGGTAGGTGCAGGCCAGCCGAGCGAGCGCCGGAGAACCCGGCCTGGCCCCCTAGCTCGTCTCCCTCGTAAGAAAGTCCCATCAGTTAGTGCTTGCGGTGTGGAAGGTAGGTACCCGGCCCAGGACCGCCGGGGCGCGGTCTCTCTGTCTTTCCCTTTATTGATTTGAGTTGGTTATTTTGGTTTTTCTCATCACCGCCATCACCATCGCCCCTTATTTTCTCACGGTCGTGATGTCAATTTTCCCTCGCCATCCCGACTGCCCTGTCCACCCCCTGCCCTTGCCTCACGTGTCCCCCACCTCTTCCCTGACACTTCCGGCTGGGGTGGCTGGTCAAGAAAAGGGGGCGGAGTCCCAGGCCCCAAATGAGGGTGTGCGCCATGCACGTCCAAGGCCAGGTGCCTCGTGCAGGTGGAGGTTCAGGCTGCCAGCTCCTGGCACGAGGGGAGGCGGCGAGGGCTCAGCGGGCACTGGGCGTGCAGGAGCTGTGTGTGTGCACAGCGAGCCGTCCTGGGCGTGTAGGTGTGCTGCTGAGAGCATTACAGCGTGTGTGTGCCCCAGGGTCCCGCGTAACAGCCGCTATGAGATACGTCCCAGGCGACACTTGCTGGTGGTACCTGCCGCGGATCCCGAGGGACCCCACATGCATAGCCCTGCTTAGCTACCCACTTGCTGCCTGCCATCATTTGATTACAGGCCTAGAGTGGCACCGAGCGCACAGTAGGGCCTCAAAATGGGAGCAGTGCAACCTTGCAAAGCGCTTGGCCGATGCTGGCTACCCAAGAGAGCCTGCATTTCCTCGAGCCTGCCTCCTGAGGTGCAGGGCAGGGCATGGCCAAGTCCTTGTTTGATCATGTTAGAGCCAGATGTGGGCGGGCACACAGTAGGGGCTGAAGCCGTGAGCGGCAGCCAGGATGGCACAGGGGCCTCCCGGGGCACCAGTGTTTCATAGAGTACTTATTTTGACCGTGAGAATCCGTCCTTTTGTATAAAATATGCCCACAGCAACCTGCCTGCACACAGTAAGTGTACATTGAAGACTCTCATTGTCCCTGGAGTGGGGAGTGTGCCTGCACACAGTAGGTGTGCACCGAGGGCGCTCACTGTGCTGGAGCAAGCCTGCACACAGTAGGATCTTGATAGGAAACTTTTACCAGGATGTATTTTTATTGGAAAGGCAGATTTACAGAGAAGAGGAGAGAGAGAGAGAGAGAGAGAGAGGAAGATCTTGCATGTGGTGATTCACTCTCTAAGCAGCCGCAACTGCGCCGATTCAAAGCCAGGAGCCTCTTCTGGGTCTCCCACACGGGTGCAGGGTCCCAAGGCTTTGGGCCGTCCTCCACTGCTTTCCCAGGCCACAGGCAGGGAGCTGGATGGGAAGTGGGGCAGCCAGGATTAGAACCAGCGCCCCATGGGAGCCCAGTTGTGTAGGGTAGGGTTGGGGTTAGGAATAGCCAATAGGGCCATGGCTTTGGGTCTGGTGTCACTCCATTACCCCCTTACTGTTCCCTGAAGCTCCTAGGAAGTATCAAGTGGGGTTTCTATGGTGACACAGTGGGTGCCCTGTGAGCAAGTGCTGGGTGCACAGTAGGTCCTCAGTGGGCAGGACTTACTGTAGCCTGTCCCAGTGCCTGGCACACAGTGGAGGTGTTCTTTGGGCAAGTGCCAGGTGAACAGTAGGTCCCCAGTGGGCAGGACTGTTACTGTAGCCTGTCCAAGTGCCTGGCACACAGTGGGGGTGTTCTTTGGGCAAGTGCCAGGTGCACAGTAGGTCCCCAGTGGGCAGGACTGTTACTGTAGCCTGGCACACAGTGGAGGTGTTCTTTGGGTAAGTGCCAGGTGCACAGTAGGTTCTTAGTGGGCAAGGCTGGTACTGTAGCTGTGCCCTGGTACCTGGCACACAGTGGGTGTCCTGAGGGCAAATGACAGGTGCTCAGTAGGTCTTCACATGGCAGAACTCATATTGCAGCCCCCGTCCCACTGCATGGTATGCAGTGGGGGCCGTGTAAGCAGATATTTGCCTTGTTTTTCTTTGAGGCCTGACAAGCGCCCGGGGTGCACAGTAGGTCCTCAGTGCGCGCCAGGGGTGCACACGCGTGTCCTGGGTCCCACCGGGCACCCCGACCCCCAGCACCACAGCTTCTTGGCCAGCCCTCCCCACCCGCCCATCGCACCCTCGGTTGCCACCTGCTTCTTTTGGGTTCGACTTCTCTTTTGGTTCGGTTTTGTTTTTTTGTTTGTTATCATCTTCTTTTTTATTTTCTCTTTCCCATCTTTTGTTTCCCCGCCCGCCCCCCTCCTCTCCTCTCCCCTCCCCTCCCCCACGTTCTCCCCCTCCCCCCTTCCAATAGAACCGTCCGCCCCCCCTCAAGACGTTAAATGTGTCAGCATGCGCTCCACCGCCATTTTGGTAAGTTGGCGCCCGCCGCCGCCGGAGACGCACAACGGGGCCCTGGTGGGCTACAGCGTCCGCTATCGACCGCTGGGCTCGGAGGACCCGGAACCCAAGGAGGTGAAAGGCATCCCTCCAACCACCACCCAGATCCTACTGGAGGCCTTGGAGAAGTGGACCGAGTACCGCATCACCACCGTGGCGCACACAGAGGTGGGGCCGGGGCCCGAGAGCTCGCCCGTGGTCGTCCGCACCGAGGAAGACGGTGAGCACCGCCCCCCAGGGCCTGCTGCACCTGCCCGGCGGCGCAGGCATCGGGGTGGGGACCCCGGCGGCCCTGCTGCTTCGACGGGGGCAGCCATGGGTGGTTAGAATCCTGCAGGACCTGGGCGCGGAGCCCCGGTGTGCGTGTGTGTGCGCGCACCTGCGTGCGTCCTGCCCGGTAGCGCTCGGCTGGGAAGTTAGGCTGTTGAGCGCTGGCAGCCAGAGCTGGGGACTCGGGTGGGCTGGGGAGGGGCTGGCAGCCGAGCTGTCCACTGCGCCTCAGCTGCCCCATCTGGGAGCTGAGCTGACTAGGAAGGAGGAAATTTTCTGGAAAGTGTTTGGAGCAGATGCAGCCCGCTCAAATTCTAAGAACCCCGGGCAAGTGGTTCCGACCAGTGCAGAGGGTCCCCAGCGGGGCCTGTGGGGAGGGCTGTGCGCACCCCGCGCGCCCCTGCAGCAGCCACTCCCAAGCCCGCTGGCCCCGGGGGGCAGAGCCGGCATCCCGGTAACGACCCTGCCGCCCCTCCCCTCCCGTCCGCCAGTGCCCAGCGCGCCGCCGCGGAAGGTGGAGGCGGAGGCGCTCAACGCCACGGCCATCCGCGTGCTGTGGCGCTCGCCCGCGCCCGGCCGGCAACATGGCCAGATTCGTGGTTACCAAGTCCACTACGTGCGCATGGATGGCGCCGAGGCCCGCGGGCCGCCCCGTATCAAGGACGTGATGCTGGCCGACGCGCAGGTGCGTCCTGCGGGGAACGGGGTTCGTGGGCGGGCCTGCGGGGCCCCGCCTGCGGCTCACCTGCCCCCTCTTCTCCCATCGCGCACAGTGGGAGATGGATGACACGGCCGAATATGTGAGTAGCGCCCTAGCCGTGCGCTCCCGCGGGCCGTGCTGTGCTGTGAACCCCGCACGTCCCTCTCCCCACCCCAGTCGTAGGGTCTCCTCGCTGGGGGCCCGCATGCGCCTCCCCCCTCTGCCCCCGTCGCCCTTGGGTGCCCAGAGGCCCTGGTGAGCTGGCGTTTCCGCCTGTCAGGCTCAGCCGTGGGGACACAGTTTTGTCCCCGAAGCGCTCCGTGCCCCTAGACTTGATGTAGGACTTGGAGGGGCAAGGACCACTCCTCAATCTTTGCATTCGCTGTATGCTGGAGGCAGAGAGGGGCCGGGAGACCTGGGCATGGGCCACCTTGACCTAGGGAGGCGGGCCCGGAGATGACATGCAGTGGTGTTGGTCAGGTCCCTGGCCACAGCAGGAGCCACACCCTCCCGCCAGAGCCTGGGCTGGCCTTGGGATGCTCCACCTTCTGGCCACCCCCAGTCGCTGGGGCGCTGCTACGAAGGCCTTAAAGGCAGGAGCCCCGTGTTCCTGCGGCCCTGCCCCCACCACCCACACACACACACACACACACACACACACACACGCACGCTGGCGGGAGTTGGCGAGCTGTGCGCTCCTGCCCTGGGCATGGGCATGATGGTGGGAGGGGAGCGCATTGGGGAGGTCCCCTGGGCCGGAATGGCAGGTGCAGGTCCGCTGCTCAGGCAGGAACAGCAGGGCGCTGGTCCAGGGAGGTGCGCGCCCGTGCAGGGTCAAGGTGAAGATGCTGTGACTGGAGGGATGGGCAATGCTGCCCGTGTCGGGAGGCGGACGCTCCCGCTGTGTGTGCACCCCAGGCTGGAGTGGAAGTTGCGTCTGCTTATCCCGGAACTTCTTGCAGGATCCCTGAATGTTTAGCTGCTGGGCTTGTGAGCTGGCACAGGTGTGGCTAGGGCCAGAGCAAGAAGGGGACCCTCCCTCCACCAGAGAACCCCGATTTTAACCCTTAGGGTGTGGGGCGCTCGGAGACGCCTTCTGGTGGCTGCCACGGGGAAGAGTCGGCAGGCTGCATGTGCGTGGTCCCTGCATGGACTCACCTGCACGTGTGTGCGCTTGGGGGTGCCTCCCACACGCCCCCATGCTGACTACGCCCCCTGCCCTCCCCCCAGGAAATGGTCATCACAGACCTGCTGCCCGAGACTTCCTATTCCATCACCGTAGCCGCCTACACCATGAAAGGCGACGGTGCTCGCAGCAAACCCAAGGTGGTCACCACCAAGGGAGCAGGTGCGAGCCCCACGGCCCCCCACCGCTCCCCAGCCAGGCAGGGGGAGCAGCAGGGCGGGGTGCAGGGCCCTCCTCCAGGAAGCTTCCCTCATTGCCCCATCTCCCAGGCTGGGTGAGGTACATCCCCCCTCCCCCGGGGGCCTCAGTCTCCCTCTTTGCAACCCTTAAGGTTTATTTTTAAATCTCCCATCCTCTCCCCCAGCCAGAGTGGAACTGCAGGAGGCAAAAGCTTTTGTAGAGATGGGGGGAAGCGGGTACAGAGGCAGGGGCGCCCTCTCCATGGCCACATCCCCGGGTGTTCAAGAGGCCAGAGCTTGTCCACGATGCAGGTTAAGGAGCCTCGTGTGGGGTCGCTCCTTCCGCAACCCCTGGCCAGCTGGCGGGCTGTCCCCCAGCCCTTCCCCGTGCAAGGGGCGCTTGCGTGGCGACCCCAGCCCTTCCCCGTGCAGCAGAGGATGGCTTCTGGCCCCAGCTGGGTAGGAACGCAGGCCGTGCGCCCCCTCTTGTCTCCACAGTGCTGGGCCGCCCCACGCTGTCGGTGCAGCAGACCCCCGAGGGCAGCCTGCTGGCCCGCTGGGAACCCCCGGCCACCAGCGCCGACGACCCGGTGCTGGGCTACCGGCTGCAATTCGGCCGCGAGGACTCTGCGCCCCTGGCCACGCTGGAGTTCCCGGCGTCGCAGGATCGCTACTCGGCGCCGGGCGCGCACAAAGGGGCCACCTACGTGTTCCGGCTGGCGGCGCGCGGCCGCGGCGGGCTGGGCGAGGAGGCGGCGGCTGCGTTGCACATCCCCGAAGACGCGCCCCGCGGACACCCGCAGATCCTGGAGGCGGCGGGCAACGCGTCGGCCGGCACGGTGCTCCTGCGCTGGCTGCCGCCCGTGCCCGCCGAGCGCAACGGGGCCATTGTCAAGTACACCGTGGCCGTGCGGGAGGCGGGCGCCGCGGGCCCCGCACGAGAGACCGAGCTGCCCGTGGTGGCGACGGCCACCGAGCCCGGGGCCGAGATGGCGTTCACGCTGCGGGGCCTGCAGCCTGACACGGCGTACGATCTGCAAGTGCGAGCCCATACGCGCCGGGGCCCCGGCCCCTACAGCCCCCCTGTGCGCTACCGCACCTTCCTGCGGGACCAAGGTAGGCGCGGCGACGCCCGCACCACAACCACAGGCGGACCGGGCCTCGCGCCCACCCCCACCCCAGTCCCCTCCCTGTCCCCCGGCCAGGTAAGTGGTCACTTTTCTGCTTCCTTGTGCTTGCTCCAGGCCAGTCTGACCCGAGGCTCCTCCGCCGTTGGCACAGGTGGGACGCCGCCCCCACCGCCGCATCCCCCTACTCCTCCTCTTCCTCTCTCGTTTTCTCTCTCTCTCTCTGCAGTTGCGCCGTCTCCCCTTCGACAGGGCACTGGGACAGGACAGGCAGGGCCGGGCCAGGGCCAGGCAGAGACCGGCAGGGAACCCCTGGGCCGCCCGCCCCGCCTGCCTGAACTCACACGGGTCTCTCTCTCTCTGCTCTCTCTCTCCCTCGCCCGCCTGCCTGCCTGCCCGCTCCGGCGCAGTCTCACCCAAGAACTTCAAGGTCAAAATGATCATGAAGACATCGGTGCTGCTGAGCTGGGAGTTTCCTGACAATTACAACTCCCCCATGCCCTACAGGGTGCGTGCGGCCGGACTGCGGGGCCTCCGGGCGGTGACCGGGCCGGGCGGTGTGGTGCATGTCGTGGCTCAGCTGGAATTAGGGTGCCCTTGAAATTTTCTAAAGGATTAGGGGCTCCTGCGGTGGCAAAACAGGCTAGTCCGCCACCTGCAGCACCAGCATCCCATACGGGCGCTGGTTCGTATCCCGGCTGCTCCACTTCCCATCCAGCTCCCTGCCTGTGGCCTGGGAAAGCAGTGGAGGACGGCCCAAAGCCTTGGGACCCTGCACCCGCGTGGGAGTGACAAATTGGATCTTCCAGCCATTGGTTCATCCCCTCCCCTTTCCCCAAATTCCATCAACTGCCCAGGCTGGGCCGAAGCCAGGAGCTCCATGTCTCCCACACGGGTGCCGGGGACCCTCCGAGCGTGGGTGATCCGGGACCATAGATGAAGGCCGGCCGGGAGTCAGGGCCCCGTGGGCCACAGCTGAGCCCACCCCGGCCCCGGCCCCGTTGCAGATCCAGTACAACGGGCTCACGCTGGACGTGGACGGTCGCAGCACAAAGAAACTCATCACGCGCCTGAAGCCCCAAACCTTCTACAACTTCGTGCTGACCAACCGGGGCAGCAGCCTGGGCGGCCTGCAGCAGACGGTCACCGCCTGGACGGCCTTCAACCTGCTCAGCGGCAAGCCAAGCGTGGCCCCCAAGCCCGACCCCGAAGGCTACATCACCGTGCACCTGCCAGACGGCCAGAGCCCCGTGCCCGTCCAGTACGTGTGCCCGGCCCAGAGGCCTGGGGCCAGCGTGGCCAGCAGGGTCTGGGGGACCCGGGTTCTGGGTGGAGACACGGCCAGAGCCCCGTGCCCGTCCAGTACGTGTGCCCGGCCCAGAGGCCTGGGGCCAGCGTGGCCAGCAGGGTCTGGGGGACCCGGGTTCTGGGTGGAGACACGGCCAGAGCCCCGTGCCCGTCCAGTACGTGTGCCCGGCCCAGAGGCCTGGGGCCAGCGTGGCCAGCAGGGTCTGGGGGACCCAGGTTCTGGGTGGAGACACGGCCAGAGCTCCATGCCCGGCCCAGAGGCCGTGGGTGGGAGAAGGGGTGCCGCCCTGGAGGCCCCGGAGGGTCGGGGGCTCCCAGGGGTCCCTGGTCAGGGTGCGGACTCGGCCTGCACTCCTCACGCTCCCCGTTTGTCACTCCTGAGGCCGTGGGTGGGAGAAGGGGTGCCGCCCTGGAGGGTCGGGAGTCCCTGGTCAGGGTGGGGACAGTGGGGACACGGCCTGCACCCCTCACACTCCCCGAGGCTGTGGGTGGGAGAAGGGGTGCTGTCCTGGAGGTCGGGGGCTCCCAGGGGTCCCGGGTCGGGGTGGGGACAGTGGGGACACAGCCTGCACCCCTCACGCTCCGTTTGTCGCCCCCGAGCAGGAGCTACTTCATCGTGATGGTTCCGCTCCGCAAGTCTCGCGGCGGACAGTTCCTGACCCCGCTGGGCAGCCCGGAGGACATGGACCTGGAGGAGGTGAGGCTGCGCGAGCCCCGCCCCTGGACTCCGCCCACCGGGCCGAGACCCCACCCATCCGGACACTCCGCCCACCTGGCCACGCCTCTGGGGGCTGGGCCGCCCACGACTCCTCCCCCTTGGCCTTGTGTCTCCGCCCATGACTCCACCCCTTTGCCCCTTGACACCACTCACCTTAGCAGCCTGCGCTGACTCCGCCCCTGCCCGCACCGCGTCCTGACCCCGCCCACCGCGTCCTGACCCCGCCCACCACCCTCCCGGCCCCGCCCCCAGCTCCTGCAGGACCTGGCCCGCCTGCAGAGGCGCAGCCTGCGGCACTCGCGGCAGCTCGAGGCGCCCCGGCCCTACATCGCCGCCCGCTTCTCGGCGCTGCCCGCCAGCTTCCGGCCCGGGGACCAGAAGCAGTACGGGGGCTTCGACAACCGCGGCCTGGAGCCGGGGCACCGCTACGTGCTCTTCGTGCTGGCCGTGCTGGCCAAGAGCGAGCCGGTGCGTGGACCGTGCGAGGGGCGGGGAGGGTCGGGGAGGGCTCAGGGTGCATGCATGGGGTCAGGGAGGGCTGGGGTGCATGCGTGGGGTCAGGGAGGGCTCAGGGACAGGGGGGCAGGGACCATGCAAGGGGCCAGGGAGGGCTCAGGGTGCATGGGGGGCCGGGGAGGGCTAACAGTGCATGGGGTCAGGGAGGGCTCAGGGTGCATGGGGGTCGGGGAGGGCTCGGGGTGCATGGGGGGCCGGGGAGGGCTAAGGGTGCATGGGGTCAGGGAGGGCTCGGGGTGCGTGGGGAGACGGGGACCATGCGAGGGGCCGGGGAGGGCTCGGGGTGCATGCGCGGGGTCAGGGAGGGCTAACAGTGCATGGGGGGACAGGGACCATGCGAGGGGCCGGGGAGGGCTCAGGGTCCTGTGGGAGGTCAGCAAAGGTGCTCCCGGACGACGGTTCCCGTCCCTGACCCCCCACCCGCCCCCCGCAGACCTTTGCAGCCAGCCCCTTCTCAGACCCCTTCCAGCTGGATAACCCGGACCCCCAGCCCATCGTGGACGGCGAGGAGGGGCTCATCTGGGTGATTGGGCCCGTGCTGGCCGTGGTCTTCATCATCTGCATCGTCATCGCCATCCTGCTCTATAAGAAGTGGGTCCCCCCTCCGTCCCGGGGAGCAGCAGGGGCCGCGTGGCCGGTGCTCGGAGCACCGTCTCCACAGGGAGGGCCAGCGGGGGCCAGGAAGGCGGGGTTGGAGCTCACCGGGGCTGGAGAAAGGCCGCCCCCTCACCTTGGCTTCTTCCTTCCTTCCTTCCTGTGCCTGCTGACTCCCGGGAGCAGCAAACCCGACAGGTGAGAGCCTGCCCGGTCCTCCTGCCCCCCGACGGGGGAAGGGGTGGGTTGCGCCCACGGGCCGTTCCCAGCACCTATCTCACCGTGTCCTTCCGTCCCCCTCGCGTCCCCCAGCAAGCGGAAGGACTCGGAACCGCGCACGAAGTGCCTACTCAACAATGCCGACCTGGCGCCCCACCACCCCAAGGACCCCGTGGAGATGAGACGTATCAACTTCCAGACCCCGGGTACGGCCCGGCCCCTCGCGTCCCCCACGCTCGGCCTCGCCTCGCACCTGCTCCCTGCCATGCCTCCCGTCACCCACATGGGGGTGGTCGGGGGCTGCAGTGCCCACTTCCCAGAGCACACGCGTGCCATCCTCAACACGCTCCCGTCTCCAGGCTGGCTTGGGCCTCTTTCACTCCTTCCCACTAGGAGGTCAGGTTTGGGGCTGGCTCCGTCCGCCCGGCCATAGGTGACCATGGCCCTCTCAGCACCCCAACTCCTCCCCTGGGGCGCTGCTGCCACGTGGGATGCCCCAGCTGGCTGGCCTCCAGCCCCAGTCCTGGCTGTGTGTGCCCTCTGCCACAGAGCTGGGCTCCCCTAAAGTCACTGTTCCCCGGTCAAGCTGGGGGCCACCTGGCAGGCCTCGTTCTCACCCCTCCCCACCTCTACCTGCCAGCATGGGGTGGTGGGGCAGGCCAGTCTACCCCCATGTCACCCTGTGACCGCCCCCACTAACGACAGGAAGGGGGTACACCTGGACCCCAGCAGCTGCACCTGCCGTCCCCCCAGGGCCGCCCTCCCTCCCCAGCTGGGTCGGGGCTCACCAGCCCGTGCCCTCGGCCTCTGCCCGCAGGCATGCTCAGTCACCCGCCCATCCCCATCGCCGACATGGCGGAGCACACAGAGCGACTGAAGGCCAACGACAGCCTCAAGCTGTCACAGGAGTACGAGGTGAGCTGTCACCACCCCGTGCCTCGTGCGTGGACGTGCGCGTCCCCTCCACACGCACACGCGCTGACACCTGCACGGCCCCGCCTCCCCCCCGCAGTCCATTGACCCGGGCCAGCAGTTCACCTGGGAGCACTCGAACCTGGAGGTGAACAAGCCCAAGAATCGCTACGCCAACGTCATCGCCTACGACCACTCCCGTGTCATCCTGCAGCCCATCGAAGGTCCGCCTCGCTGCCCCCGGGGGTCGGGTGGGGAGCCGGGCGCGCTGGGGCATCCAGGAGGAGAAGAGTCGGGGTGCGGTCAGCCTGGGGGAACGGGTGGACACGGAGCTAGCCCCGCGCCCCAGCAGCACGTGCCCGGCCTCTGGTCCTCAGGCATCGTGGGCAGTGATTACATCAACGCCAACTACGTGGACGGCTACCGGCGGCAGAACGCCTACATCGCCACGCAGGGGCCTCTCCCCGAGACCTTCGGCGACTTCTGGCGCATGGTATGGGAGCAGCGCTCTGCCACCATCGTCATGATGACCCGGCTGGAGGAGAAGTCACGGGTGAGGCTCGGCTCCGCTCCCCGCCCGCGCTGGCCCTGCCCACGTGGGACGTTCTCGCTCACCACCCCCCAACTCTTCCCCCCAACCTGAGCAGATCAAGTGTGACCAGTACTGGCCCAACCGCGGCACCGAGACCTACGGCTTCATCCAGGTCACGCTGCTGGACACCATCGAGCTGGCCACGTTCTGTGTGCGGACATTTTCTCTGCACAAGGTGGGCCTGCCAGGCCGGCAGGGGCGCGGGCACCGGGGGGAGAGGAGCCACGCGGGAAGGGCTGGTGGGAAGGCAGAGCCCAGTCTCTGCTCCGACCCCAGGGGCCGCGCAAGGCAGAGGGCAGAGCCCGCCTCTGGCTGCGGTGGGGTGCCCGGGCGAGGAGTCCCAGGGCACCCCGCAACAGGGCCTGGGAAGGATGGAGCCCCCTCCCCAGCTCAGAGGAAAGGCGCAGGGTCGGGGGGGGCCAGGCGTTGTCCTGTTGGATCTGACGCCCCCACCCAGACAGGGCTGGGGCTGCCGAGGGCGGCAGGGGGTGACCGCCCCACACCCCGTGTTCCCCAGAACGGCTCGAGTGAGAAGCGCGAGGTGCGACAGTTCCAGTTCACGGCGTGGCCCGACCACGGCGTGCCCGAGTACCCCACGCCCTTCCTGGCCTTCCTGCGGCGTGTCAAAACCTGCAACCCACCGGACGCCGGCCCGGTGGTGGTGCACTGCAGGTGCGTGGACGCGCCCCCAGGGACCCCCGGGATGTGCCACGCGTGCCCCGGGCGCGCCCCAACCCCCGGGCCTGCTGCTGTCCCCCGCAGCGCCGGCGTGGGCCGCACCGGCTGCTTCATCGTCATCGACGCCATGCTGGAGCGCATCCGGCCCGAGAAGACGGTGGACGTGTACGGCCACGTGACGCTCATGCGCGCCCAGCGCAACTACATGGTGCAGACGGAGGACCAGTACAGCTTCATCCACGAGGCGCTGCTCGAGGCCGTGGGCTGCGGCAGCACCGAGGTGCCCGCGCGGAGCCTCTACGCCTACATCCAGAAGCTGGCGCAGGTGGAGCCCGGCGAGCACGTCACGGGCATGGAGCTCGAGTTCAAGGTGCGGGGCGCGGCGGGGGTGCAGGGGCGGCCTGGGTGGGGCGGCGAGGGTGCAGGGGTGGCCTGGGCGCAGCGACGGTGCAGGGGCGGCCTGGGCACAGCGACGGTGCAGGGGCGGCCGGGGGTCCAGGGGCGGCCTGGCGGGGCCCTGGCTGACCGCTCCCTGCCCTGCCCTGCCCACAGCGCCTGGCCAGCTCCAAGGCCCACACGTCTCGCTTCATCAGCGCCAACCTGCCTTGTAACAAGTTCAAGAACCGCCTGGTGAACATCATGCCCTACGAGAGCACGCGCGTCTGCCTGCAGCCCATCCGCGGCGTGGAGGGCTCCGACTACATCAACGCCAGCTTCATCGACGGCTACAGGTGCGACCGGCCCCCGGGGGCGGCCCGGGAAGCCCCGCGTCGAGCAGGGCACCCTGCAGCCGCTGACGTGGCCCCGTCCACCCCACAGGCAGCAGAAGGCCTACATGGCCACGCAGGGGCCGCTGGCCGAGACCACCGAGGACTTCTGGCGAATGCTGTGGGAGAACAACTCGACCATCGTGGTGATGCTGAGCAAGCTACGGGAGATGGGCCGGGTGAGCCAGGGGGCTGTGGGAGACGGGGGCTGGGGAGGAGGGCCGGGTGAGCCGGGGGTGCAGGAGTGGGGGGCCGCAGGAGACGGGGGCTGGGGAGAAGGGCAGGGTGAGCTGGGGGTGCAGGAGTGGGGGGCCGCAGGAGATGGGCCGGGTGAGCTGGGGGTGCAGGAGTGGGGGGCCGCAGGAGATGGGCCGGGTGAGCTGGGGGTGCAGGAGTGGGGGGCCGCGGGAGATGGGCCGGGTGAGCTGGGGGTGCAGGAGTGGAGGGGCTGGGAGAAGGGCCGGGTGAGCTGGGGGTGCAGGAGTGGGGGGCTGGGGAGAAGGGCAGGGTGAGCTGGGGGTGCAGGAGTGGGGGGCTGGGAGAAGGGCAGGGTGAGCTGGGGGTGCAGGAGTGGGGGGCTGCAGGGACGGGACGAGGCAGAGTTGACCAGTCCCCGCCCCGCAGGAGAAGTGCCATCAGTACTGGCCGGCTGAGCGCTCTGCCCGCTACCAGTACTTCGTGGTGGACCCCATGGCCGAGTACAACATGCCACAGTACATCCTGCGGGAGTTCAAGGTCACCGACGCCAGGGTGAGTGTGGGAGCCGGCAGGGTGGCCCGGCTGCGGCCGAGGGACGTGGCCGGGGTGGGGATGGACGGACCCCGGCGGTGGGGATGGACCCCCAGTGAGGGATGGACCCTGAGGGTGGGGATGGGGATGGACCCCGGGGGTGGGCCCTGCGCCCTGACCCCTGACCCCGGCCCCCTTCCCGCGCAGGACGGCCAGTCGCGCACCGTGCGGCAGTTCCAGTTCACCGACTGGCCTGAGCAGGGCGTGCCCAAGTCGGGCGAGGGCTTCATCGACTTCATCGGCCAAGTGCACAAGACCAAGGAGCAGTTCGGCCAGGATGGGCCCATCTCGGTGCACTGCAGGTGCGCGCCTGCGCAGAGGCCGGGGGCGGGGCTCCGCTCGGGTGGGCGGGGCCGGGGGCCAGGGGCGGGGCTCCGCTCTGGTGGGCGGGGCCGGAGGGCCAGGGGCGGGGCTCCGCTCTGGTGGGCGGGGCGACACAGGCGGCCCAGGCCAGGCCGAGCTGACCGCCGCTCGCCCCGCAGCGCCGGCGTGGGCAGGACGGGCGTGTTCATCACCCTGAGCATCGTGCTGGAGCGCATGCGGTACGAGGGCGTGGTGGACATCTTCCAGACGGTGAAGATGCTGCGCACGCAACGGCCCGCCATGGTGCAAACCGAGGTGGGGGGCCCGGGCACCGAGTGGGGCCATGGGGAGGGGAGGGCACCAAGTGGGGACACGGCTCAGGGAGGGGAGGGCACCGAGTGGGGACACGGCTCAGGGAGGGGAGGGCGCCGAGTGGGGCCATGGGGAGGGCCGGGCACCGAGTGGGGTGCAGGCTGGGGGAGGGCCGGGCGCCGAGTGGGGCCACAGCTCGGGAGGACCAGGCCAAGGGTGTGTGGGGCGCGAGGCGGGCCTGCCCGGCTGTGGGGCGCTGACCCCAGCACGCCACCCCCGGCCCCACAGGACGAGTACCAGTTCTGCTACCAGGCGGCGCTCGAGTACCTTGGCAGCTTCGACCACTATGCAACCTAAGCCATGGTCCCCGGCCGACGTGACGCGTGTGCACCTGCGGGCTCGCCCCGCGCAGCAGGCCCGGGTGGGGGGTGAGCAGGGCGGGGGGCACGCGCCCTTTTGTAATCATGGAGACTCAGCAGCCGGGGGTGCCCCGGGCCCTGCCCCCCACATTCCTGCCTTTTTCTTTACTCCCCAACCCCTCTTGTTTCATTTTTTTATAAACTAAATTTTCAGACTCATCCAACGGCCCCACCCCAGGGTCAAGGTCCGTCTCCCCTCCGGGGGTCCTGGGGGGAGAGGGCGGGAGACCCCTCACGCGCAGCAGAGCCCACGGCGGCGCCTGCCCCCTCCACCCACACCGTGCCAGCCCTTTGGCCCCAGCTGCCCCGGTCTCACCCCAGGAGGGGCGGACCCGAGGGTGACCCCTGGGAAGGGCACCTGGGGTGGGGTGGACGTGGGGGATCCGGCCCCGCGTGTACATAATCAACTTTGTATTAAAGGAGCGCGTCCGACCCGCCCCTGGCTCCCGTTCCACCTGTGTGGCCGTGTCGCAGGGCGGGCAGGCGGGCGCCGCCTCCGTGGCCAGGCTCACGCAGCTGGGCCACGCGTGTGGGTGCAGGGACAGGAGGGCCAGGGTGGGAACTCTGACCCCGGGAGAAGGCACGCGGGGCCCACTGGCGGCCAGAGGAACCCCCCTGGGTGCTGGCTGTGTGCTTACTCACCCAGCACGAGGGGAGTGACGGGGAGGCTGGGGGCGAGGGCCCCCACACCGCCCGTGGCTTAACACGCCCAAGGACTGCACCGGCGCCGGGCAGCTGGGCCGCGAACCCGCGGAGGGCGGGCTGGGCAGAGGGCAGCAGGGGCTGACCGTCTCCCCTGCAGAAGGCCGGAGGAAGCCGCTGGGGGGTGGGGGACACGGAACACGCCTCAGCGGCTCCTGGGGACCAGGCATCCTGCCGCGCAGTGAACCCCCAACCTACAGGAGATGCTGGAGTCGCTCTGGGCTGCAGTGGTCCCAGACGCACCCACGTCCCGAGGGGCACCACGCACACCCAGACAGCTGACGCTGCCAAGGGGCGCCGGTTCATGTCCCGGCTGCCCCGCTTCCCACCCAGCTCCCTGCTGTGGCCTGGGAAAGCAGTGGAGGACGGCCCAGAGCCTTGGGGCCCTGCACCCGCGTGGGAGACCGATGCCTGTTGGGGGAGCAGGGGGTCCTGGCCTGGCACCTGCTGGCTGACTCCGTGTGGAGTCCTGGGTCTTTGGCAACCTCGGCCCAGGCACCACGCTGGAGGCCGAGCGCTCGTCGCGGCCACCGTGACCGAGGCCGACGTGCTGCACGGCTCGTCCAGGTCACCCTGCCCGACACACCAGTTACCGTGCTGACACAAGGAGACGGGATGTGGGGGCCCCACGAGTGGAGGGGAGCAGGAAGCCCCACCCTCAGCAAGGACACGGGCCCTGGGGTTGGGGGACACAGCGGGGGTCCCGTTGTCATCTCTTCCCCTCCGCTTCAGTCCCATGGCTGGACCTCCTTCAGCGGGGGGCTCAGGTGCAAGGGGGCCTGGGGGAGGGGAGGGCTGCAGCTGTGGTCCCCCACTTTGCTGGGAGACTCCCCGTCTGCTGAGCCAGCCCCTGCCAGCCGCACACACCCCGCATCCGTGTGACCCCCTCCAGCGATGCCCCAGCATCCGTGTGACCCCCTCCAGCGACGACGCCCCAGCGTCCCTGTGACCCCCCCAGTCTGCCGGAGAACAGCTGGGACCCCCCATCACAGCCCTACACGACACCACACAGCTGGCCCGTGGGCCCCCAAAGCACAGAGCACCAGGACACGTGACCCCATAACACGGGGTGGTGACCCCATAACACGGGGGCTGGAAGACCTTCCCCCCTCCCACCCCGACCATGGGGATGGGCACCTGCTGACCCGCGCAGCAGCCAAGTGGGCACCACCAGCCTGCCCCGACGCAGCCTCCAGCTGCCCCACCTGCAGGGAGCCCGTTTGGGGGCCGGAGAAGCAAGGTTCCCATTCCCGTGGGGTGGCTCGCTCCCCAGGGCCGGCCCAGGAGCCGCAGCCTTCCAGATTTCTCCCACAGGAAGGCGGCACCGAGGACCAAGCACGCGGGCACCACCCGCTGCTTCCAGGGGGTCAGACCTCCTGCCCGGGTCAGGGCTGAGCACAGTTGTGCTGGCCCCGCCTGCGGTCCCCCCGGGCGCCCCCACAGCCTGTTACCTCCTCTTCCCCAACCTTCCACTCCACTGCTGCAGGTCTGGCTTTGGACATCGCGCCAGGCCAGACTCATGGGAAACAGAGGATGGAGAGTCAGTCTCCTGTCTAGGGGTCTGCTCCGCCAGCCGGGGGCTCCCTGGGGGTCCCAGGACCAAGCGCAGGCATGGTCACCCTCCAGCACCCCTGCAGGCGCCTTGCTGGGTGGCAGGGCTGGAAGCAGCGCCAGGGTGGGCAGGTGGGCAGCCAGCAGCGGGGTGTCCCCCACTGGAGGCCAGACCCAGGGAGGGGCGGAGCCAGCCCAGGGAGGGGGTGGAGCCAGCCCAGGGAGGGGAGGGGCCATCCCAAGCCCCACCCACCAGCAAGTCAGCAGGCTGGGGAACTGGCTGGGACCTGCAGGATCCAAGATGGGGCCTGGCATACCCCCGGTTCCTGGAGGACCTGACCCCGTGCATTGCACTGTTGCCATGGCAACCTAGGGCCGGGACCCCCCCAAAAGCCTAGAGCCCCCTCCCATCCCTTGGAGCCAGCTGATGCCAACGCCTCCCACAGCACCCCAACACTGCCACCCCCAATCAGGGGTTCACCCCACCAATGACTCCCACAGTCACTCCATCAAGTCAGGGGTGAGTGGGGGAGCAGCTTGACTCCCCAAGTGCCAAAGCCAGGAGCTTCTTCCAGGTCTCCCACGCGGGTGCAGGGTCCCGAGGCTCTGGGCCGTCCTCCACTGCTTTCCCAGGCCACAGGCAGGAGCTGGGTGGGAAGTGGAGCAGCCGGGACACGAATCGGCACCCGTATGGGATCCTGGCACATGCAAGGAGAGGACCTTAGCCACTAGGCTACCATGCCAGGCCCCACCCGCTTCCTAAAGGACCAAGCGTGGGGTGAACGGGCGCGCCCGCGGGACCGCGCTGTGGCGTTCCTGGTCTCCCGGCCGAGGCCCCGAGCTGGCTCCAGCACAGCCGACTGGAAGCAGAAAGAACGCTTTTTCAAGCATTCTCAAAGGCTGTTTTTCTTCACCTGCTTAGACCCAAGCAGCTGAATCCACTGCGGCCCGAGGTGGATTTGCGTTTTCTTCTTGCATTTCAATCAGCACGGACAATGGCCAGGGTTTGCCCGCTCCGGGCCCTCTCAGGCTTCCAGACAAAGGGAGGGCGTGCGGAGGGGGAGCCCCACAAAGGCACGGGGCCCCCGCAAAGGGGGCTCGCTCTCCCCAGGGCTTTTGGCGATGTGAATAGGGTCCGGGCTCGGGTCTGGTTTAACCCCGTCCCTTCCAGCATGCACAGAGCTGAGCTGTACCCCTCAGATCCGGGGGTCCCTGGGGAGCTGGTGTAACCCCCGCAGCGTGGCACTGGCCCTCCCCAAGCAGCCACGCGGCTCCCTGCTCACGCCAGGAGGCAGAGGCCATTGCTTCTGGGATGGGGTCCCCCACCACCCACGGGGGAGACCCCGCCACCGCCCCCGGAGTCTGGCAGGACGCATGGGGCGCGCCCCTCCACACTGCCAGTCATGCCTGCCGATCCTCGGGGGGCCTGGCCAGGCCCACCCCTCCAGGGGCACAGCCGCTAGTATGGTGGGGGTCCAAGGAAGACCCTCCAGAGAGACGGGGACACGCAACACCGGACAGCAAACATCCCGGACAGAGGGATCCAGGGGTTGCCAGGGCAAGGTGACCTGGCTGCTTCCAGGGCCAGTGGAATGTTCTGGAATAAGTGGTGGCAGCTGGCAGGTGAGGAATTTCCTACTGTGAAATGACCTTATGCGGGGTCAGTGGCTCTGGCCTCCGTGGGAGTGCCAGGCCCGGCTGCCCCACCGCCTACCTGGTGGTGACCAGGGCCACACAAACACCCATGGTCGTGGCCCGAGTTTGGCATTTTCCCTTCTGTAATAATCTAACTGGAGCCAGGGTGTTTGTTTAATCAGGGTCAGTAATAAGAAGCACAGGTGCGTCCCCGGGAGGCGGGAATGCACGGCTGCCGGCCTGACCTCGGCAGGGTTCAATCACGGACTATGTGGGTGCCCTTCCCTTGGGGTCTCCGGCCCAGCAGGCTGCCGTCCTGCTCGGGAGCAGGAGTGGACCTGGACCGGGGCCGACCCAGCCCGGCCGAGGCGGGCCTGTAGCTGGGGGACCCTGGGGGCTCCAGGAAGGTGGGAGGCCGAGTTGTCTGCCCGCCTCCCCTGGCCAGTCCCGCCCGGCCCCGGGCACAGCTGTGTGTGTGTGTGTGTGTGGTGGGGGAGATCTCGGTGTGCCTGGCAAATAATTTTTTTTTTCTTGCAAATAATTTAAACATAAAAGTGTACCCAGAACTGCAGCATCCAGGAGGGCTTGCTGGCAGCAGCGGCAGAAGACGGGGAGGCTCTGGTGGGTCCCCGGGGGTGGGAAAGGCCTCACGGGGCACTGAGAGGTGGGGGGACCTGGGCCCAGGAGAGGGGGGACTGCTCACGGTTCCTGCGGGGGGCTGGGCGTCTGCTGAGGCTCCCCAAGCCAAGCGGTGTCTTCGGGGCTCTGGGCGAGGGGCGGCCTTCCCTCCCACGGCATCCTGGGAGTGCAGGGGAAGCTGGGAGCGCCTCGGGCTGGGGGCGGCGCCCACACACCTGCAGCCCATAATCCCACCTGCAGCCGATAATCCCACCGCCAGCCAGGCCAGCCCCCACCAGGGAGACCGGGATGGAGCTGCAGGCTTCCGCCCCGGCCAGGGGGAGACCGTCTCCTCGTGTTGTCCTGGGGTTCCGGGTTGGATTCACCCTGCGAGGTGTTGAGGATGGCTCATTGCTGTGGGGGGGACCCTGGTGGGGACACAGGGTGCATGGGGGAGCCTCCGTGGGAGAGGGCATGACACACACACCTTGCTGCTTATGTTTGAAAATCAGAGAAAGAGAGAGAGGGAGGGGGAGAGAGAGAGAGAGAGAGAGAGAATGGGGGACCAACTCCAAGCAGGGCTTGCAGAAGGCCAGGCACCGCGGCCATCACCGCTGCCTCCCCGGGCAGGACGCTTGGGCAGGACTCGGGGCAGGGCTGGGCGTGGCCTGTGGCAGTCAGCTCCTGGGCCTCATGCCCCACTGCCCATCTCCCACCAGGCCTGAGCTCGCGGAGCCGGCCAGGGCCCGTCCAAGCACGAGGTCTGGCCTCCGCGGCCCACACGGTTGGTGGGAACTGGAGAAGTGGCTCCTCTGAGCTGCCCCCCAACCCCCCCCCCGGCTGCCCCTGACCTCAGATAATCCGCTTTCTCCAGCCCCTCAGACCAGGGCTGGCGACCAGGCAGGTGCCCACGCCCACCAGGGGCCCGGCCGAGGCCGCCGGGGTCAATGCTCCCCGGGACCTCAGGTGGTGGTGGTGCTGCCCGCCTGCCCACCCACCCACCCCACGCTGGCCCAGAAATGAAGACGCAGGCCGGGACGCAGACTGGGGCTTTGCACAAGGCGGGGCCTTTAATTCATGAAAGGCCAAAACACAACAGATCCTTAATCTCGGGGCGGGGTGGGGCGTGGGGGCGTCCAGAAGCCCTGGCGGCAGGTACACGCCAGGCCGGCCGCCCCCCTGGGTCGGTATGATATAAATAGTGTCTTCCAAGTCCTGTGACCCCCGCTGCCATGCGGGGACCCCCCGCCCCAGGTTCTGGGGCCTGGCCAAGCTCCCTGGCGCGGTATCTTACACAGCCCCCTGGGTCCAGGCCCGGCTGGCCCACAGGCAGGCGTGGGTCCCCCTGGGTGTGGGACGGTGGCTCTGGAGGCCGCGTTGCGTCTGGGTCCCCGGAGGGGCCTCTGTGCACCCCACGCCTGTGAGGAGCCGGCGACACGTGGTCTCGTGCGAGCTCTGGGTCACCGGGAGGCCCTGTGCAACCGTGCCCACCTGTTCCTGGGCCCCTGGTGGGCCACCGCTCGGAGGGAGGGCGGGGCAGCCCTGGAAGCTTCTGTGGAAGGCTCTCCGCGGCCGTGGGGTAATGATGGGATGGGAGACGGGGGCTGGGGGCGCTGCACGGGCCTGACCTCCCGACAGCCAACACAGCGACAGGAAGGGCACCCCTGGCCCTGCTCCCGGGCCCGCCGGGGGCTCCGGGTGGCCGTGCAGCCCCCCCAACTACCTGTGCTGGGGAAAATCAGATTGGAAAAGGTTAACAAAGGAAAAAACCCAAGGAGGTGATGCCTTGTAGCGCATCCTGGTTCTGAGAAAGAGGGTGTGTGTGTGTGTGTGTCTTGTAAAGCCACAGATGCAGGAAATGGCCCGGGAGAGGTGGAGGGCCGGGGCGTTTTCCTCTGGCCTGGCCTGTGGAGAACCCTCGGCGGGCGGTGCGCCCTCGGCACCGGGAGACGAACGCGGTAGCACCTTTTGGAGAAGAGCCTAACAAGGTTTACAAATCTGAGTAGTTGGGCGGGCGGCGCGAGCCTGCGGCCCCGCTCCCTGAGTCCCGGCCGGCGCCAGCCGAGGGGTCCAGGCCCCCTGCGCCTCGCGGGCGGATGGGCGGCCTGGCCACGGGCTGCCCAGCACAGCGCACAGCGCCCAGGCCTGTTGGCCGGGGCGTGGGGGAAAGGGTGGCGCGGGTGGCTGTCCTAGAAGGGGGCCCCGGGCTGGGCCTGGGCCTGCAGCAGGTTCTCCATGAAGGCCAGGTAGTCGAGGCTCTGGCCCGCGTCCTCGGCGCCCACCCGCGGGCGCTTGGCGGCCTTGGCCTCTCCTGGGGCGTCCGGCTCCTGCGGGGCCCCGGTGCTCAGTGACTGCGGGGGGAGCAGAGAGCACGGTGGTTAGCGCCGGCGTTGCCCAGGACCCCTCAGCCAGTGGGACCAAGCTCTTGGGGGGCCTGAGGCGGGCGTGGCGCAGGCAGGGGACGCTCACCAGCCGGGACCGCACGCGTTTGGGCAGCTCTTCCTCCAGGGTGAAAATGTCCCCTCGCTTCACCGTCAGCTGGGACCCGTCCTCAAACTCCACCTGTGGCAGAGGGAGAGCGGGAGGGACGCGGTCCTCAGGGCTGGGCAGGTGCCACGGCTCCGGGCACCCACAGCGCACCCCGCAGCACCCACTGCCGCCGCCCACGTGGGAGGCACTGGCCGTCAGCATGGGCAGGGTGGATGCCTGGGGCCTGGCCCAGCCTGGCGGGACCTCAGCCTCCACCCACTCAGCACAGGCCCCTGCAACAGTATGCTGCCCCACAGTGCCACGGGGGTCCCCAGAGACCCCACAGAGGCCAGAGCCATGGATGAGAGAAGAGAGACTGTCACCCCTGCAGAGCTGCGGCCCCGTGGCGAGTTTCTGTGGTCCCTCTGGACTGTGGACCCTGTCGTGCCCCCACTGGCGAGGGCAGGTGCCTCTGGGGGCGAGGCTGTCCCAGACTGGCCCTGAATCCACTGCCCCGGATTCTGGGGTGAGGATGGGAGTACAAGGCATGCCCCACATTACCCCGAATGGCAGCCCCCCAACTAGTTTTTCCTGCTCCAGTGTGTGCCACCCCGTGTGGCTCCTGCACCCATGGCCTGATAGGTGCTGCCCTGGGTGACACCTTGCCAGCAGGTGGCGAGGGGTAGGGGGCGTCCCCTGGGCCCAGCTGCTGGGGATGCTGGGGGTGGCACACGGGAGGGAGATGCTGCCAGCTGGAGACCCCACCCACCATCTGCCAGGGGCAAAGGGCACGGCAGGGGCCCAAGCTCCACAGCCCCAGCCGTCAGGGTCAAGACAAAAGCCAGGGGTGCCCAACCCGCACAGCAGGTCAGCAAGCAGAAGCCCCGGGCCTTGGCTCGTTGTCCTGGCTCGCTCACCTGGTAGAGGTGGCTCGTGGTGGAGGAAATGAACCTGGCCTTGTACAGGTTGCCGTCCGTCCACCGCAGCTCCACCAGCTCGCCCTCGGGCGGGGGGCCCAGCCGCACACAGTCCCTGCTCTGCGTGGTGGGTGACAAGTGAGCGGGGGCATCGGGCCCGGTGACCCCCCCGGCACCCCACGGGCCCCTGGCCTACCGTGATGCTCTCGGGGTGCAGGTTGTCGCTGTAGGAGCCGTCGTCAAAGTTGACCTCGTAGAAAGTCTGTGTGGCCGTGCCGATGACACGGCCACGGTAGTAGAGGCCACTGCGGTGCTTGGCCAGCACGGCCTGGCCCAGTGACACCGACCGCAGGAGCTGCACCTGCGGCAGGGGCGGGGTCAGTGCAGGGCAGGAGGGGCATGGTGGGCGGGGCATGGCGGGCAGGGGCGGGGCATGCTGGACGTGCAGGGCGGGGTCAGTGAGGTGGGCATGCTGGACGTGCAGGGTCAGTGGGGTGGGCATGCTGGACGGGCAGGGTCAGTGGGGTGGGCATGCTGGACGTGCAGGGTCAGTAGGCAGGGCATGCTGGACGTGCGGGGTCAGTGGGGTGGGCATGCTGGACATGCAGGGTCAGTGAGGTGCAGGGTCAGTGGGGTGGGCATGCTGGACATGCAGGGTCAGTGAGGTGCAGGGTCAGTGGGGTGGGCATGCTGGACGTGCAGGGCGGGGTCAGTGGGGTGGGCATGCTGGACGTGCAGGGTCAGTGGGGTGGGCATGCTGGACGGGCAGGGTCAGTGGGCAGGGCATGCTGGACGGGCAGGGTCAGGAGGCAGGAGGCAGGAGGTGCTCCGGGACGAGGGCCCTCTGCTCACCGTCTGGCCCCCGGGCTTGTGCTTGAGGCAGGTGATGGAGACCACGTAGGGCCAGTCGTCGGGCTCCATGAGGACGCCGGCGGCCAGGGCGCAGGTCACGTGGAAGGAGGTGGAGCAGTGCTCGTAGGAGCACTGGATGCAGGCGCCCGACACCTTCTTCATCCGCTTCCGGCAGTACACGCACTTCTGCGGGGACACGGGCAGCGCGGTTGGACAGTGACCCAGTGACCCCCACCCAGCCCTGCCGCGCCCCCCAGCGACCCCCACCCCAGCCCTGCTGCGCCCCCCAGTGACCCCCACCCCAGCCCTGTCGCGCCCCCAGCCCTGCCGCGCCCCCAGTGACCCCCACCCCAGCCTTGCCGCGCCCCCAGCCCTGCTGCGCCCCCCAGTGACCCCCCCAGCCCTGCTGCGCCCCCCAGCGACCCCCCCCAGCCCTGCCGCGCCCCCAGCATGGCCTGGCCTGCCCTGCACGGTACTGCACGCTGCTGCAGGGCTGCGGGGAGCAACATGCCAGCTGGACACCAGGCGCTCCCTGCCCAGGTGCTTCCTTGCCATCACAGGCCCACCCCAAAGAGGGGAGGCAGCCAGGAGGTAGAGCTCCTGGGGCCGGGCTTCCTGGCGTGTGTGTTGTGAGAAAGTTCTGGAATTAGCAGAGCTGGCTGCACAATCTGAGAACACGCTGGAAGCCCCTGGGCTTTTGTTGGCACAGCAGGCTTTGTTCCGTTTCCCACAGAGCTGCCTCCTGGTTCGGGGGGCAAGGGGTGGCGAGGGAGGGGCCGCCCGCTCCCTCAACTGCCCCCACCAGCCGTGTTATCATCTCGGTGGTGTTTTCGCTCCATAAACCGCGTTCAAAGGTCAGGGAAGTGAGTGCAGCCCCAGGGAAGGCCGATCCATGGCAATCAGATGTCATAATTAAGGTGTCGATACCCGGGCTGCCGCCAGCGGGGATGGGCACCGATGCTTGGCACACAGTACGTGGGGCTGACCCCAGGGGCTCACACTCCAGTGCCAGGCGGCGAGGGCAGAGCCTGGCACCCATCCGATTCGTCCCTGCCCCTCGGAAGGCAGCTTGGCACAGCTGCCCAGCCCCTTTGGTTACCTGCGACCCACGGTGCAGTTCTGTGGACAGCAGGTCCAGCTGGCTCAATCCCCCTACCACACACACACACACACACACACACACTGGCCGTGCTGGAGTGGAGTCACCCACTCTGAGCCCCTCCCCCGGACTCCCCAATTTCTCCAGCAACTTTGCAGGGCTTCAGCCAGCTGCCAGGAGCCAGCCCAGCTTGGAAGGGTGCAAGGGTCCTCTCCACGCAGGCTGCCCTGCACTGTGGCTGCCAGCCACACCCCATCGCCCTTCAAGCCCAGGCTGGCGGTCACCCTGGAGACGGCTGTAACCGTCCCGTGCCTGTGGTCCCCAAAGGCGGGCAAGTGGCACTGGACCCAGGGAGGGCTGCGTGGAGCAGGATTCTTCAGTTTCTCTTGTGAGGACCGGAGAATGACAAACGGGGAGCAGGCCGTTGGGAACCCGCTTGCGGAGAGGGGCCCCCACACTGGCCCTTGGCCACTGGCACTGCAGAGTACGCACCTGGAGCTGCGGCCGGCCCGTGAGTCACCCCTGAACCAGGCCCAGCGGGCAGGCATGCTCCGTGAGCAAGGCGCCTCTCCCTGCCAGCCAGGTGGCCCTGCACCTGCGTGGCGCCTGCCTGCAGGCACGCAGCCGGGGTCGGCAGTAAGGGGTTGGCCCAGCCCTCACAGGACTTATCCAGCAGGCCCCGCTGCCAACCACACTGCCCACAGCCTGGTGCCTTCCTGCCCAAGACTGCCACAGGCAGCTGGGACAACCAACCAGGCGGTGAGAGAATAGGCGGGAGGCCATTGGCGCACAGCCTCCAACTCCTGAAGCAAAGTCCCCTTCTTGCATTTGCATCTGAGAACACGCACTTGCCAGCACTCGCCAAAAGGGGGCCACCCCGGCCCCACACAGGGCTTTGCAGAAGGGGCACGGCTGCCCCGCTGCCCGGAGGTCATGGGGGCAGGGCCAGGCTCTCCAAGGCCACTGGTGCTCATACGGGGTGGGCCCGGGCCAGGCTGGGGGTCTCGGGGCGGGGCGGGGGTCTCGGGGCCCATACCAGTTTCCACCGCTGCTCGGGGATGGCGCTGATGTCCACAGGGTGGCGCTCAGTCACGTTGAGGAACCGGGCCTCGGGGACCGCGATGGCACACAGCACGTGGATCCACCTGCGTGGAGGAGGGGCGGCGTGCGGGGGGCTGCATGGCCCCGGGGCCCAGGCCAGGCAGGGTAGGGGGCTGGACGTGGCTCCCACCCCTCCAGGACACTCAGGATGCCGCCCCTCTCCGCCCCAGCAATCATGCAGCAGTGGATAACCAGGGAGGCCTCCGGACGCTGCCAAGCCCCTCTCTGGCGGCAGTGCCACCCACCTCCTGTCGGTGGTCACCTGCAGGGCGCCCCCCCGGAGGTTACACAAGCAGCACTCCTGTGGGGACACACAGCGGGGGGCTCAGGGTCGAGGTGGGGGCAGGCTGTCAGGCCCAACCCGCCAACCCCACACGGCCCAGGGCACGGGCTCCTCACCGCGTTCCAGGCGTGGGCTGTGCACCGGGAACACGTCCATTCCTCGTTAACCAGCTCGGGGCGGATGCCATAGCAACCTGGGACAGATGGTGGCACCGGCTGAGCCCGCCAAGCCGCCCAGTGGGGAGTTGCACAGCCACCGCAGGAGGGCCCGAGGGTGGCTGGACACAGGGGTCAGGAGGGAGGCCCCGCACAGCCCACCCACATGCCCCAGCCTGGGGGTGCCTCACTGCTCCCCGCCACCTCCACGCTGCATCTAGGAGGACCCCAGGCTCAGCTCTGCCAGCAAGGCAGCCCCGCCATTTCTGGGCTACACTGCTGTTTCTCCGGCCTCGAGCCAGAGGCCAGAGGGGTTCCCAGATTGGAAATGGGCAGGGGGTGTGGAGGAGGCAGTGGGAGGGCTAGGTCAGCCCCCAGGTGGGAGACGGGGGCTCTTGTCTGCGCCTGGGGGTCCTCAGGGCCAGGGGAGGAGGCAGCCCTGTCCCTTTGCTGTCAGTAGTTTCCCATTATCCCCCTGCTCCGAGGGCGGAGCTGGGGGGAGCCCTACAGAGGTGGTCCGTCCACCGCAGCTCCACCAGAGGGGCCAGAGGGGTGATCCTGGCCCGGGTTCTGAAGGGAAGGAAGCTTCTAGAGATGGAAGGTGTCTCGGGTCCTCTGGGGAGCATCAGGGCTGCTCCTCGGGGGTGGAGGGACCAGGGGCCAGGCCCCCTGGCCACAGGCATGTCGCGGTGTGGAGAGCCCCGGCTCTCAGAGCTGGCCCTGCTGCCCCGCTGCCAGGGAAGCTGGGTAGGAGGCCCCAGCGTGCCCATCCCCGCGGCCCGGGGGACACTCACTGGCGTGCACCTGCAGGCAGCACTTGGAGCAGACCATCAGCGGACTGGTACCGTCGTCGCCGACACCGGAGCTGGCGGGCAGGGCCTCGGGGTTCTCGCTGCTGCAGGTGAAGCACAGCTCGGGGATGAGCGGCCGCGTCCTCCGACGGCTCCCGGCAGGCGGGGCAGCAGAGGGGCCCTCCCCGAGGGAGGCCGGGGGCGCCTCCTTCTCTGTCTGCAGGGCCTGCGGATGAGAGCAGCAGCCTTCAGTGGCACCCTCTCACCTGCACCTGCCCTGGTCAGTGGGGGCCTGCCCTGGTCAGTGGGGGCCGGGGCAGGTGGGTGTCAGCGGGGGCCGGGGCAGGTGGGTGTCAGCGGGGGCCGGGGCAGGTGGATGTCAGCAGGGGCTGGGGCAGGTGGATGTCAGCAGGGGCTGGGGCAGGTGTCAGCGGGGGCCGGGGCAGGTGGGTGTCAGTGGGGGCCGGGGCAGGTGTCAGCGGGGGCCGGGGCAGATGGGTGTCAGCGGGGGCCGGGGCAGGTGGATGTCAGCAGGGGCTGGGGCAGGTGGATGTCAGCAGGGGCTGGGGCAGGTGTCAGCGGGGGCCGGGGCAGGTGGGTGTCAGCGGGGCCGGGGCAGGTGGGTGTCAGCGGGGGCCGGGGCTCACCTGGCTGTAAGGGTAGAAGAGGGTGCAAATGGCACAGTACGGCTCTGTCCGCGCAGCCGCCGCGTTCAGCTTTCTCTCGGCCTGGAAGCTGACCGCCTGGCTCTTCCACTGCAGGGACAGCGGGGACCTCAGGGCGTCGGGGTCGCCCGCATCCTCCTCCGCAGACAGAGGGAACGCTTCTAGAATAAACAGGAGCAGGGTGGAAAGCTGAGCGCTGTGAGAAAGCCATCCAACACAGGCCTGCATCGCGCTGAGTGGAGGCCCCCACCCCCCCCGGCGCGTCCCCCCCCCCGCCTGGCTGCATGGCCCAGCTGTCCTGTCCCCTTTTCCCATCTGCCCAATGCCCACGACGGTCCGGGTCCCCTAAGCATGTGGAGTGTCTGTCTTGTTCCCTAAGGTCTGTGTCCCCTACACGCTGCCCCTCGGGGCCATTCCGGGACAGTGAGAGCTGCTGCGGCCCCACACAGCAGGCGGAGCCTCCAAGCTTAAGACACCGGCTGCTCCCCGCAGCCCTGCCTTCTTTGAGCGCCTGGTCTGCCAGCCCAGGACCACTCCCTGAGACCCAGGCCTAGCCATGGCTGGCCCCTCGTGGGCCCTGGGTGCCTGTCTGTGAGTGGGCATGTGGCCGCTGATGGCCGTCCCGCCATCACGCTGGGCTGTGGGGCCATGGGATTAGCCAGAGCAACACCCTGGGGTGCAGAGGAGGGGGAGGGCACAGTCAGCCCCCTCCTCCCCACACCTGCCCGCCCAGACTCCTTCCTGCCTTGGGGGCTCCAGCCCCACCCTTTGAGGTATTTCTGGGGACTCCCCCTCTTGAAACCCTCAGAACAGACTCCGATTTGATAAAGGGGCCATGGAAGGATTTCCAAAGCCTGTTGGGGGAAGCGCATCTTACAAGAAAGGCCGCAGCTGAGGCAGCCTGCTCTGCCTCTCCCTCCCTAACACAGCTCCAGCCCACAGCCGTACCCCCTGCGCCCCGAGGCCTCGGAGGTTGGCTTTTTTCCCCTTCTAGGGGGACACCAGGGGCTTGCTGACTCTGCCAGATGGCACCCAAGGTGCCCTGATCAGTCTAGTCCCAGCATCTGAGGGTGTGAGCAGAAGAGGTTTGGGCAGGTGGATGTGGACAGCTGAGGCCATGGCTGGAGGTGGGAGCCAGTTTGCACCCAGCGCCTGAGCAAGCTTGGGCACAGGGTCCTTCCCGACTGCCCACTGGGCGGGGAGGACCAGAGTGGGGGGTGGGGTGGGGTCCTGGGCAGGGGAAGCCGGGACTGAGGGCGGGCTGGAGCACAGGGAAGCTGTGTGATGTGCCGAAGGTTGGGGGCGGGGGGCACCTCACCCTCGTCGCTGGAAGCCTCCTGCTTGACCACGGACAGTGGGGAGCGCGTGGGTGGCCTGCCCAGGGGGTGACGCCGGCTCCTCTTGATCTCCACCCTCAGCTTGGGCGACACAGATGGGACCTGGAACGAGGGAGCAGGGCTTGTGGGGACAGGACTTCCCTAGGTTTCCCCAGAGGGCAGCCACGCAGGAGCCACATGTGAGACAGGGCTGCTGCGTGAGCAGCTTTGCTTACCTGCACCTCCTCAGCCCTGGCCTTGGACTCCTCCGGCCCCGTCAGTTCCATGGGGGCAGCCTGATCCTTCTGGGCCAAGTGCTCCGAGGCCTGTGGGCTGGCCACCCGCTCCCTATCGGCCCCCGCTGTGCCAGCCCGGGGCACCACGTACAGCATGGGAATGATGGGCCTTGGCTTGACTTCCTGCTCATCGCCGGGTGTCTCGGGGGGCACCACGTTGAGGGGTGCCAGTGGTGGACTCTCCTCTGCAGTCCCAGGGCCCGGGGCCAGCACCGGGAGCTCCACGGGAGGTGGCAGCCGCAGCGCCTCCTCAGCGGGGCCAGGCACCGATGGCGCTGGGGGCAGCGGGGGCGACAGGGGAGTGCAGTTTCTCTTCCTGCGGTCACCCTTGGCCTTGGCGGGCCGCATCTTGCCCCTCCCGTCCTCTGTGGAGAGGGCAAATGGTCAGAGTTGGAACCCAGAACCTGTGAGGTTCCCAACCCCCCCCCAGGCAGCGGGGCTGGTCCAGCCACTGCGGGCCACAGGTCAGCTGGAGACTGTCATGCCCAGGGCAGAAACGGGGCCCCGGGGTAGCTGCTGCCGGGGGCCTGGGATGACCAGTGGGCCGTGGGCATTGGTCCGGGTGATGTGGCACAGAGCTGCCGACATTTGTGTGGTGCTGTAACCACCATGCCCACAGCGTGTGCCCAGGCACAGGCCAGGGCAGAAGCAGCCCGTTTCCTCCCACGGCTCAGCCTGTGCTGCCCTCACCTCCCTGTCAGCACAGATGTCCTGGGGACCCTCTTGGCCCAGGCCACAGGAGCAGGCGGGCCTTCCTCACACGGTACTGCTGGCTTTGGAGATGCGGAAGCAGCTGTGAGCCCAGGAGGGTGCTGTCTCTAGCAGCTGGGGGACGTGCCCTGTACGTACCCCAATCCCAGTGAAACCCCAGCGGGGGGCTCACCGGCTCCCCTCCCACCACCTGTGCCTCGCGGGGTGCACAGGGCAGCTCGCCTTGCAGGGGTGCACCTGCCGCCCAGCACTCTGCCCTGGCGGCCACAGTCCCCTCCTCACATCTCCAGGTTCCAGGGCTTGGACCCTCCCACAGGCAGTGATGGCAGCAAATACAGGGTGTGACACCCCCAACTGCCCTGCGTGCCTGGGTCCACCAACGGCCTCCCTACCCCGTTCACGGCCAACCCGGGTGGCTCCTCCTTCACCACCTCAGCTCCTAACCAGCTTTGTGAAGGGAAGGAGCGTGTCTGCCTTGGGCCTTGAGCGTAGGGTGGACGCCTCCTGGCCGTCAGCTCTGGACGGCGTGACACAGAAGGCACAGCGATGGGCAGCCACCGATGCCAGGCACGGCCGGGCAATGCTCTTCGGGGCGGCCATCTCCAGCGACCTGGCTCGGGCCCAGGGGCTGGCCTGTCTTCCGACAGCCAGGCGTCCCTTCCTCCACAGGAACCGGCCAGGCTCGGGCCTTCTGGTCGGTACCAACATCCTCCCACTCGTGTCTAGCGACTGCCATGCCTGGTGTCTCCGACACGAGTTTTCAGGCAGAGCCGTCTGTGGCCTCATCTTGGGGGCCGATGTGGAGACACTGGGGGCCACGAGCTCTGGGACCAGCCGGGACAGGCAGGACCTGGAGTCTCTGTGGGCGCCCCAGTCCCCGTGCCATCGGCTTGTCCACTCTCCGACCACCCAGACCCCAGAGGGCCAGCTGGGAGATGGCCATGTCTGCACATCTGGGTCTGCTCCTATGGCCGAGACACACAGGGCTCATGCGTTCATAAGCCTTTTCTGCTCTCCGAGACCCTCCCCGCTTCTACATCGTGGGGTTCGCTGGGGCAGCCGTTTGGCCTGGCAGCCAAGGGCACTCGCTGGTCAGATGTCCTGGTCCCCTATTGGAGAGCCGGGTTCTAGGGCTCCAGCTCTGGGCCGGCAGCTTCCAGCTGGTACATGGCTGTGCCTGCTACTCACACAGGCAACAACGTGGCCTACGGTGCTGACTCATTGCTTTGGCCCTGCTGAGCCTAGACCACTGTGTGGCCAGGGGTGTGCAGGGGTCGTCCCCCCAAGCTGCCTCTGTCTGCCTGTGGTCAGTAGAGCGTCCTCCTATAGGCTCCGTTCTCTGGGCGGCCAGTCTCCGCGGACCACCTTCCTCCCCAGAAAGGCTCTCTGGGTAGGTGACGGTGTCCACGTGGCCACAGGACGCTCCTCGGGGCCGAGGAAGGAGTGCCCTGCAGGTCACTCTGCCCTCTCAAACCCAGGGTTCAGGGGCGCAGGCTCATCTGCACAGCCCTGCTGCGTGGTGGGCGGCGTGTGGCTGGGGAGACTGCAGTCTGCAGACAGTGCCAGGCAGGGATGGTAACCCCACGCCCTGCACACCCTGCCACTGGCCTCAGGATCCACGTGGGAGAACTGGGGCACCAGACAGGAATGCTGGGAACACACTCATGCAACACCACTGCCCCGTCTCAATGGCCGTCTCACTGGCCCTCGGAAGACGCCCTGGAGAGAGGCAGACACCAGAGGCCAGTGGGAGCCCTACACCCAGGCTGCTCCAGCCCCCAGGCCCGGCTCCCAACCCCTAGGCCTGGCCTCTGCCCAGGCTGTCTCATGGCCCACTTCTGTAATATCCACCACACACTGGAGACTTTTACAAACGCCCAGGCCTGTCGGGCTGACATGGCTGGATACAGGGATGCACTCAGGCTCCAGCCGGGAGGCACCAGTGGGGGCCCCGTGGGGACTGACCTTCTGAGCCCTCAGCCTCGCGGCCCGGCACTGGCTGCAGCCCCTCCTCCTCCTCCTCGGGGTCGGCCTCCTGTGCTGCCTCTTCCTTGGTGCTGCCCGCGGCCTCCTCCAGGAGGGCTGCCCCGGCCGCCTCCTCTACGGGGGACTTGGAGTCTTCTGGCTTGGGCTTCTTGGGCTGTGTCCGCTTCCTGTGAGACCTGGGGAAGGAGACCCATCAGGCGGAGGGGGGTGTGGTGTGTGGACAGCATGGGGAGGGTGCCCTCGGTCCAGGTGCTCTGTTAGGCGGTACCACCGGGCCCCACCCCGCGCCCCACACCTGGACGAGTGCCAGCTCCAGAGGCAGGGGAGGGAGACGAAGGGGGACAGCCTGGGCAGGGTCTCTCTGGGGAACAGGGTGGGGGGTGCTGATGGTGGCTGCAGATGGAAGCCAGCTGACACTGAAGGGACGGGGGACAGGAGGGTGAGCTGGACGGACATGGACAGACAGAAAGGACACTTACGCCGGCCCCGGCTTTTTGGTCTGCTCTTTCTTTCTCTCTAGACTCGGTTTTCTCTCCTCCTCAGCCTTTTTCCAGTGTCTGTTTTCCTTCAGACTAATTTGTCTAGAATGTAAATTTCAGGGGGTTGCTCTCTTAGCCCACGGGCATGGCTGCTCGGGGCGTGGGGGTGGGCGCTGCCTGTCGGGCCTTACGTGGCGCGTCGGCCCCGGCTGGCTGGCCCCCCTGGTCCTCTCTCCAGCCCCTCCAGAGGCATGCATGGGAACTCGAGTTCACTGCCGCTTCTTGGGGCCTCCTTGGTGCCGAGATGGGCACAGGGCAGTGGGAGAGCACAGCCCGCGCCCGGCACCTCCGGCCAGCCCCAGGTGCGATGTTCACCCTGTGCCCGGCAGGCTCGGCTCAGCTCCAGCCTCACAGAGGCGAGGGAGGAGCGGGAGGGACAGCCAGGAGAAGGCAGGAGTGGAGAGGTGGGCGAGCCTGCAGACGCATGCTGGGCCCTCCTGGCTGCTACTGAGGGGTGCGTTGCCCCACAAGCAGGGGAAGGTGGGTGGGGTGACACCTGTGCCTCCTCTGTCTGATGCCCCATGAACCCTACAGCGGGCTGGGCAGAGCCACGAGCCCCTGAACTCCGAGTGGAGACCCCCAGGCCTTGCCCCTGACTCCTGCTCGCCCCTCCCCTCCGCCCGGAAGCTCCCCCAGCAATCACAGCAGCATGAACCTCACAAGATGGCCAGTGGCAGGAAGCGGGTGCATGAGCAGGGACACGTCACACACGCAGGGTGCACGGAGGATGGTGGCTGCGGGGCAGGAGGGGCAGCTGGGCCCCGGTGTGGGATGGGAGCGGGAAGGGAGGGGGACAGCCAGACCCTCTCGGGGTCTCCCCACGGTGGGGCTGCACCAACTGCCCCAGGCCACCAGCTCCAGGCGCCCCTTGGCCGTGGCAGGAGCTCGGGAGCTGGCACTGGGGTCACACCCGCCCCAACCTCCACCCCAGCAGAATTCCATCTGTACCAACTCACCTCGCATGACTCCTGCCTCCTCCTCCATGTCCCTCTGGCCCACCCTCCACCCACGACGCCTATCAGCCCTGGGGCCACTTCTGACCGTTCCAGCTGCTGTCTCCCCAGAGTCCCAGGCAGCCCTGGTCCCCCAGGTTCACTGGGCTTCATCAAGGTGGTACAGCCCCAGGCCACGACCCCAGCCTTGCCCCTGACATTCTAGAAGGGGCCATACCCAGGCCAAGGTGGGCAGCCATCAAGGAGCTCCCACCCTGAGAAGATACACAAGGGGACCCCGAGTAGGGAGGCATGCTGAGCTGGCCCCACGCAGACCCACAGCTCGCCTCCATTCACCACCTGTCTTCTTGCTCTGCTGGCAAGGGCGGGCACTGGTTGTGGCTGATCCCATCGGGTAACCCTGGGACCAGACGCTCAGGGTGTGGCTGTCCCTGGCCAGCAGCTGCCATCACTGCTATCTGACTCTGCTATTCACAGCTGCCCTGCAGGTACTGGGCCAGCCCGGGTCCCATCCTGGTTTTCCAGGGAGCTCCGAGCCTCGAGACTGCTCGAGCCGAGGTTGGCTCCGTGTCTCCGGCCGCTGGCCACCCTTCAGGGCCTCACCCGGGCTCTCCCTAATGAGCCGCTTCGGTTTCTGCCCTCGTCCAGTTAGTGGGGGCGTGCCGGGGTGCGCCTGCTGCGGGAAGGAGATGGCTCTGCATCCTGATGCCCTCCCGCAGGCAGGTGGCCACGGCCACGCACAGGCTGCTGGGACTTCACACCCCTGATGACCGCGGCAGCCACAGCAGGGCCGGGATGAAGGCAGGAGCTGGGAACTCCATCCGAGCTTCTCCCAAACTCAGGGGCCTCGGCACTGGGTCACCTGCTGCTTCCACCGGTGCGTGAGCAGGGAGCTGCGATGCTGGCGTCTCCAGGGATGCCAGCTTGTCTCTGCCCCTCCAATTCTCCTTAGACACACTACACCCGGGCCACAGGCATCCTCAATTCTGGATGCCTAACTACCTTCGCCTCTCCCTGGGGATCAGTGTCCCTGTGGCAGCAGCAGCAGGCCAAGGGACCGTACCTGGATCAGCAGCCCTCAGGGTACCAGCTGTGCCCCAGGCTCCTTCCACTCCGCAGAGTGAAGTGGGACCGCCACGGCTGCCCTGCCAGCAGGGCCTGGCTCTCACTGCGGCTGGGAGGCTGTCCTGGGTATGCAGGGCTCTGCCACCCAGCACCATGACCTGAGATGACATCTTAGCATTGAGGAATCCCACCTCTGGAGACCCTGGAGCACAGTCACCTGGCACTGAGACTTGGTGTTTGGGGGGTGGGCCCTGAGGCCAGCAGCAGTTCAGGATCGGGAGGGCCCGCCCTGCGCAGTGGGCTGTGTCTGAGGGAGCCAGCGCGAGCACAAGGCTGGCATGCTGCAGACACCTGCTTCCTGCCAGCCCGCTCTGATGGCCAATTAGCTTGAAATGCATGCAGTCAACTCAGGACTCCGCAAACACCCCGCCTGCCTGGGCAGGCGCAGCGTTCGGGAGCCACTGGGATCTGCAGGGGTGGCTAAGGGCTGACCAGACAAAAAGCAGGCTGGGAACGCTGTTATAGCCATCAGAAAGAGATGCAGGGAGCTGGGAGAGAGGCAGCACCAACACAGGGCTGTGCCCACAATGAGGCCACGGGGTCAGAAGGGCCCAGAGCGGCCGTGCAGTCGGGGAAAGCGGCATGCAGAGTGGAGGCCACCGCTCTAAAGCTAGGAGCCCAGAGCCTGTCCACGGGCAGCCACGAGCTGGCCACGGCAGTGCTTCCACGCTGGGCACGCCCCTATCTTGTGGCAGGGTCCACAGATAAGGCCCGGCTCACTCCCTCACCGTCAACGGAGTGGAGGTAACAGACTGGCTGGCCAGCTCTGGGTCAGTGTGCTTAAAGAGAGCTGGCCTGGCCTGCATGTGGCCTCCTGCAGACGGGCCTGGGGCTGGGGGCTTAGCAAGCCCCTCTCTAGCCAGGGCCAGCGGCTGGGCTGCGGCACCTGGGAATGGGGTCTAATGTTGACGCGGTTGAGTAATGCTGATGGCAGAGGCAGGACGGAGCGGAGGGGACAGACACTGCTGTCCCTGGGGGGGCCTGTTCCGAGGGGCTGGAGGCCCTGGTCAAACAGTCCCTGTGGCCCCAGGCCCCAGCCGGGTCTCCCCAACACACACACACCCCTCACCTCAGGCAGCGCCCGCGACCCTGAGAAATGCACCTTGCCTTGGAAGCAGCAGTGAAAAACAGAGCAGAGGGGGCGGGGGAGGGAGCCGAGGACGGACGGCGCGGGGGGCCTCACCTGCGCAGGAGCTTGGCCTTGAGCGAGGCCCGGGAGGCGCTCCAGGAGCTGAGCTCGGGGCTGCTGAGGGCCGTGGGCCGCGTGTGGTCCAGCACGGTGAGGTCCTTGCCTTGCTTCCACAGCTCGTAGCGCTCCGGCTGCAGGATGCGCACGAACACGTCCATGGAGATCTTCACCATGTCCTTCCGGCACGTGCACTGTGGGCGGGACACGAACCATCACGGGAGCTCACCCCACGCTCACGCTGCAGGTCCCCCACACACAGAGCAGGCCTCCCCTGCCCCTTCCCCAACTCAGCTCCCCCTTTCTAGAGCCTTCTAGCCAGAGGTTTCTTTTCTCCCCTAGGTAGGGAGACTTGGGAACGTCCCCCATCCAGGGCCTCACGCTTGTTGCCCCAGTGCGGGTCACCACCGCCCACAAGTGCGAGCTCCAGGGGAGGTGGCAGCCGCAGCGCCTCCTCAGCGGGGCCAGGCACCGATGGCGCTGGGGGCAGCGGGGGCGACAGGGGAGTGCAGTTTCTCTTCCTGCGGTCACCCTTGGCCTTGGCGGGCCGCATCTTGCCCCTCCCGTCCTCTGTGGAGAGGGCAAATGGTCAGAGTTGGAACCCAGAACCTGTGAGGTTCCCAACCCCCTCTCCCGGGTGACCAGGCAACAACAGGCAAAGCGTTTACTGAAGACAGGCCTAGCTGCAGCGGCTCAACGTCCATCCACGAGGCACGTGGGCACCGAGGGAAGTGGACGGTGGAGGCAAAAGCCAGATTCCCACCAGCCCCCTGCCTCCGGGTCTCCTGCATGGCCCTCGTGGGTTCCTGAGGCAGGCACCCAACTCAGGGCTGTCCTGGACACAATGGAGAGCGACGAGGGTGACACACTCAGAACACCACTGCCTCGCACCCCGCCCTGACGGCCACATCACCTCCACTGCAGGTGGCTGTCTGCCGTTCGGACTCCACTACATAGCAGTCTGGGCTGTGGTCTGTCGGCTCCTGGTTCGCACCCAACAGCACACAGCAACCCCAGAGGCAAACCTGGGGACCAGTTGGGTGATGGGATGAGCTGGGTGGTCCCAGCTGCCACCCACTCCTGCAGCTTGGCCCTCCCATCGGGCAAACAGGCTTAGGGGAAGTTGCTCCCCGGAGCACGGCCTGCCGGAGGTGAGGGACTCAACTGCCCTTGGCACTCGGGGCCAGCAGGGACTCCCTAGGGGGAGTCTTCTGCAGCCCCTTCCCATGCCTGGCCTGTCCCTCCCCATCCCCGCTCACTGAATCGAGGGACAGGGACTCGGGACAGGGAGGCTGTAGCCATGCCGAGAGGGAGCATTTACGGTCGAATGGGTCCCAGTAAACTCGACCGCACACGCAGGGGAGGAGAGGCTGGCACAGCAGCTGGGCTGCGGCGTGACGGGGCACAGATGGTGAGTGCACCTTCCGAGCCTGGCCCGGCAATGGCCTCCCTGGCCCCGCCATCTAAGGCAGCAGCTAACGGGGCCCGCATCCAAGCGGTTCTGAATTGCTTTTGCTTAACTCATTAAAGCGAGCACCTGCGCGGGCCGTGGGGGGACCTGGCGTCAGCTCCCTGCAGCCTGGCCTGGCTGCCTGCCTGGCTGCCGGGCAGGTCCGTGCCCAGGGCTGACACCAGCCAGGACAAGTTAGAGACACTCACACAGACTCGGAGGGCACTCAGGAGGAGCCAGAAGAGGAACGAGACACACTCGTGGGGACACACGGGAACAGGGTAGCATAGAGGTACCTGAGGTCAGGGAGGACCCGGGGACCCCGCGCCGAGTGGCTCAACAGGGGCTGTGGGGAGTTGGGGGGGACAGGAGGCTAGTGGCTCCACACAGCGAGCTTGTGCCCTGTAGCTGCTTTGTCAGCCCTCTGCAGGGGCCCCATGGTCTCCCCCAAACCTTCAGGAATCTTTCTGGGACCTGCTGCAGTCACTGCGGCTCTCAGCCCCACCCCAACCCGGCTCAGCGGCTCTGCCCGCGCCGTTAATGGAGATGAAGTAACTCCAGGGGGAGTCTAACCGAGTCATTAGCTTCTGATGAAGGAATCAGCCGTGGACCGGGGAAACTAGGTCTGGGCGGCCCCCTCCACGAGCCTGAGCACGCCCCAGGGCCCTGTGTACCTCGCACGGCTCAGAGCACTCGGCCACCAGAACCGGGCAGGCAGGCGGGGCTGCCTCTGGGGCCAGGGCCACGCGGCCAGCCACGAGGGTGCCAGACAGCCGGCAGACGCCCATGGTGTGGAGGGGGCTTCTGGGGACGCGAGAGGGGACACGCAGAGCCCTGGAGCCATCTCTCACTTGTGCAAGGTGGGTTTGTCCCCTGGGGCTCCCACGCCCAGCCCGGTCCTGGCACACGGCTGCCCCCCACACCCCCATCGCTCGTCCGTCGCTGGGAGTGGAGCCCTCCCTGACGCTGGAAGGAAGGGACGGTGCCTGAGCAAGGGACACCTCCCCGATCCACTCGGTAGTGTTGCTCGCCAGAGCTGCCCATGCCAGTTTAATGAATCAACAGATATGCTAAGGGCACTGCCAGTGTGCGTGTGGGGAGGTCAGGGCGTGGAGAGCCACTGGCCCTGCAGGGGGTCCCAGCCAGGCTCAGGGCTCCTGGTTGGCGACAGCTCTGTCCCCTCAGGCATTGTGGGCAGCACGTGGCAAGGCTGGGCCCAGGGCACGGCGACAGGGCCAGACAGGTCTGTGGGAGGCAGCTGTCGCCTGAATGACACATTGCTCCCCCCCCAGCATGGAAGGGGCTGGTCCCAAGCACGTGTCTCCATAACAGGACCAGGAGCCCATCCTGCCGGCCCCTCTGGGCTGAACGCCAGACTGACCATGACCCTGGCGCTGCCTGTCCCCTCACGGGCAGGCGCAGCAGGCTACAGGGCAGCAAAGCCATGGAAGGGGTCGAGCCCCAGTGAGTGCTTCAGCACCCCTCCAGGTCTGGAGACACCTGAGCAGGTGCAGACACACCCGGTGAGAGCTCTGGGCGGCCCCGGCCATGTCCGTGGACACAGCCACACGTGCCCCACCCCAGAGGAGTAGCCGCCCTGCAAGAGGAGCCCAGCCTCATCCCTGTCTTGCTCGCGTCACTGCCCAATGCCTCTGGCCTCAGTTTACCCACACTCAGAGCCCAAGGCGGCCTCCAGGAGTTGGGGTCCGGATCCCCGGGAAAGGCCTGAGGGGGGCCCAGTGACCGTTCACGCTGCCGCAGCCGTCCCTCACAATGACAGGAAGTTGACGGCTGGGGAGCCACAGCCCCGGGAACCTCTCGCACCACCACGGGACACTGTGCAAGCCATCGCTGGAGGGGTGGGGAACGTGCGAGGAGCCTAGAGGGGGACTAACTCCTCTCCTGGCTTTGGGGGTTTTTCACAGGCCCCTTCCTGCTGGGCTCCCACGGCCCTGCCCTATTGCAAGGGCACGGCGGGCTGTTAGCTGCAGGGGCCGGGCCTCAGGCGGGAGGACGAAGGGGGCACCAGGACGAGGGTGTGCAGTCAGACACACACCACCCAGCAGGGCCCCTTCCCTAACTTCAGCGCTATCCTGTACCTTGGCCATGGCCACTGGGACCCTCTGATCCTTTGCAGGGGAGGTTCAATAAGGACTCCATGATGAACGGTGACCAATGTGTGGCCCTCAAGTGACCGTGTCTCCCACTGTGGAGCAGACCACCACCATGGTTCCAGGAGGGTGCATACCCTGGAGGCAGCAGTGAGGGCTCGAGCCTTGGGGTCCCTGCCACCCAGGGGGCGGTGGGAGACTCAGCTGGAGCTCCAGGTTCGGGGTTTCACCTCCAGGTGTTGTGAGGTTTGGGGTGTAAATCAGTGACAGGAACTCGCCCATCACACGGACACTAACTCCCACGCGTGAACGCATGTTAGCCCACACCGACACGGCCACAGTCCCCGCTAACCTCTCTTCCCACAGTTCTAGGACACAGGCGTGCAGGCTCCCTTGGAGCCTCTTTCTGCACAGCGCGTCCTCCAGCACCCGGCTCTGAGGGTGGCCGCTGCGCAGACCCTCTCGGGGAGCCCCCACCCCCTGACCCCACCGCCCCAAGTGGCCCACTTATGGCCTGCTTATGGTAGGGCCGGGAGGCTCAGGGCGCTGCATGAGGCACTGCAAGGAGTCCGTGCAGCACCCAACATCCTCCAAGGTTAAAAGCCTTCCACCCTGCCCCCTTCACCCCTGCCATCCCATCACACACTCCTGTCCGGGCAGCAGCCTGCCCCGAGGAGTCTGGGCCTCTAGGACCTGTCCCAAGCTGCCTGTGGCCAGGGGTCTCTGAGCCCAAGGGGCAGGCTGACACACAGGCCCCCTCTGCCATGTTGAGGACCCTGCTTGTTCCCGTCCCCATCATGGGGTACTTGGCCGCCCCAGAGGCAGAGACAGGCAGGGGGCAGGCAAGGGGGCCCCGATACCAAGGAACAGGTCAAGACCGGGCTGCCGGGGAGGCCAGCCACTCATCCACGTGGGTCCCCTTTGCTGTGACTTCCCCCTGGGCCTCCATCAGCGGCCATCTCGTTCTACAAGATGCAACAGCTCTTCGAATTTGCTCGTGTAAAAGAGCAAAGCGGAGAGGGGCGCGCAGGAGAGGCTCCCGCCTGAGGAGGGGATTATTAAACACGGTTCAATAAAGTCATCAGCCCGACAGCCTCTGACCACGGGGGCCCCGACGCCTCATCAGCACCGCTGTGCCGGCTCTCACCCGGGAACCAGGGCAGAACACGGAGGCCGCACCACGCCGTGCCGGGCCGTTAGCCGCTGGCTGAGCACGTGGGGATGGCTGCTGCTCGTCCCGCCGTGGAAGAGGGGCGGAAGCAGGGGTGTCCCAACGGTGACGGTGGCAACAGACCCTTTGGGGAGGTGGGCAGGGACAAGCTGTCCCCCAGTGACTGTGGATAGGATCAAGTCCAGTCACCAGGCCCGGCTGCCCCAGTCTCTGCATTTCCCCTGCCACTCTGTCCCCTAAGACGCAACCCCAACCTCACCCCCCAGCCCCTTCTCCACGCCCTTGGTCCCAGGCTGGCCCGGACCACAGACCTCCAGTCTCCCCACATCTCTCCCTGAGCCCAGGGCCCAGGGCCACCCCCCACAGCCCCGGGATGGGATGGGGCTGAGGGGGACAACAGCTGTCCCATGGAGCCCAATTCCCTTCTCTGCAAGGAGCATATTGGGGGGCAGCATGGCCAGCACTGGGCTTGCCTCTACAAGTGCTTTGGCCCCCCAAAGCATTGACTCCAAGGGGCTGACTATAGCGGCAGAGCCCACCGCATCTGCTGGCGTGTGAGACAGGCCGCGTGACCCCCTGTTTCTGATGCAATTAGTGGCACTGCAGCGCGAGGCATTCATTAGGAACTCCAAGGGAATTCACCGACAAGGCTACAGAAACAACACCGGCCCGGCTCCCAGCTCCCAGGCCTCTTCTCTGAACATCAGAAACCAGAGCCCACCAGGCCATGTCCCGTCCTGTCCACAGCTGGCCTGGGTGGGACAGACGGCCCATCTCAGCTGCCCATGGTCGACAACAGCGGTTCCCACCCACACAGCACCCGGAAAACGACACAACCACCAGTGTGGGGCACGCCCGGGCCCGCTGTGTCCCCAGTGCCGCATGGAGCCCGGAGCGCTGGGTACCACTGCCCTGCAAGGGTGGGGCAGGCACAGACGGGACCCCCTCAGCTGATGGATGGACGGATGGCGACACGGGGCAAGCGCGTTGGATCTAGGACCCGGGGAGGCGCGCTCTTGTGCTGGCAGCCCCCTGTCTGCCCGCCTGCCCTCCCCTGCCACCTCCTGGGACCCGGGATAACAGCCCCGAGCAGACATCAGCGGCCGACAGAAGGAGCTAGCATGCACCCTCCCAGGCAGCAGGAACCACGTGGCGCCCATTTTACGGTAATTAAGTCCCCTGCCCACCCCAGCCTGGGGGTACAGGAGCCACCCCCGACCCCACACTCCAGTCCTGTGCCAGGCTGACTGTGGGGGACCATCTCCAGACGCAGTGCCCCTGTGTGTGTGTGTGTGAGGGGAGGCAGCCAGCCTGTCTGTCTTTCCCCAGGGATGAGAGCTGAGCTGTCAGCAAGAAGCGAAGAGCGCCGGGCTCCCTCCCGGCTTTCCATCTCTCTCGCTCTGTTTCATCTGCAGTCAGCTCCGTGCCCAGCAGGCGTCTTGAGGGCACCAGCACGTCTCAGGCTCTGGAGAGCAGACCCCCTCCGCTGCCAAGCGCATCCGGCACCAGCCACGGCCGCGTGCCGGGCTAATCTAACACGGCGTGCAGCCGTGTAGGACTAATTCAAGTTCAGGGGGGAGGCCGGTGGCGGATCGCTTGTTCGCCTCTAGCAAGGTGGCAGCGGCACTTTGATGTGCCTGGTGGTAACTCCACTACAAAGTCAGCGTGAGCCCAGCTGGCCCCGGGACTGTGCCTCCGGCTGTTGCAAACCCCCCAACCCAGGTCCAGGACGCAGCCATCACCCTGGGGTCACCCCCGGGGTCAGGGGAATGTCACATCCCAGACCCCGCAGGAGGTCATGGCTCCAGGCGGGGACAAGGCAGACAGAAGGGGCGGGGGGGCCCGCCTGGCACGGAGGTGGTCTTGATGGTCAGAGGTCTGGACCAGCATTCAGTGACAGGCAGTGCAGTCTATTAGGGGGTAGGCAGGCAGAGGGAGCAAGAGAGGGTGCTCTCATTGGCTACTTGATCCCCCATTGGGACCGAGGTTGGCAGGAAGCCAAGGGCTCTGTGGGCCGCCGTGCGGGTGGGCAGGCAGGGACGCCATGACTTGAGTGACCGGAGCAGGGAGGGGAGCCAGGGCCAGGCCTTGAACCCAGGAGCTGTGATGCCCACAGAGAGCATCACAGCCCCCAGCCTTCACGTGGCAGTCTGCTGCCAGTGTGGCGAGGCTAAGGGCCATGGTCCCCAGCCCCCTGAGACTGGGTCACGTTCAACAACGCCCACTGGCTTCCTGGGTGCGGGAGACAAGACGAAGCTGCCCAGCCTCCGGGGCATTAGGGCAGACAAACGGGCCAGGCCCTCAGCTCAGCCTGTCCTGGGCGCTTCTGGCAGGTGTCCCTCCCCGCTGTGGCGATCAGGAGTTCCACTCCCCCTGTCGGCATGGGTTCCTCCCGCCGGTGGAGGAAGCTACAGGGGTGTCCCCAGCTTGTCCTGGGGGTGTCCCCGTGACCCTGGCACCCATCCCCCCACCCTCTGGCCAGCAGGTTCCACTTCACTGGGCCTGGGGAACCCCAAGCGCAGGCATCCCTCGGGGGACGGGGGGTGAGTCGCGGGTGGGTGGGCCGAGCCCTCAGTCGCACAGGAGGTCCCAGGCAGGCACAGCAGCCGGAGCCGTGGGCCCATCTGCAATAGCAGACGAGGAAGAGACTGGGACGTGACACAGCCCCCTGACCACCAGCCCCGCGCTCAGCTGGCTCCGTGGGCTGCCTGTTCAGCAACTTCACACTACACTGCCTGACAATGGAAGCATGGAGCCCAGTTAAGACCACGCTCCCCACGTGGCCATACTGGCGACCATACGGCGGAACCTGAAATTGCTTGTAATACCTGCCCCGTCCCTCGGCCCCATAGCCCTCTCAGCTCTGAGCACAGCTCCGTCAGCCCGCGGCTGGCCTCCCGCCACCCAGCGTTCCCGCGATCCCTGTGTGTAGCCCGGAGTGAGACCCCCTCCCTCTCTCTGCCAGCCGAGCGGAGCCGGTGCTGGAAAAATACCAGCGGCACCCACAGGGCTGTCACCCTCTACTGGCCGTGTTAGGAAAGGACACGAATAAAGCCAAATCCATCTGGGCCACATTTCGCTCAAGCCGCGTCTGTGACACGCTGGGTACAAGTCATTTAGGACTGAGCTGTCTGCTGCATGCAGGGCCGGGGTACACGGGATGTACCCCGGGGTGCAGCCGCACCCTGCCCGGACTTGCTCTGACACTGTCTGGCTGAAGCAGCCGGCACGGCTCTGTGAGTATCTGACTTCTAGAAAATGCTGGGCTGGTCAGGATTCAAGCAACCGCCTCGTATCCTGGGCCAGCGGAAATCTGCAGTCTTTCCCACCCCAGGAAAGGACCCTGCCCCCCAGGGAGCCCCCAACTTCTCCTCTCGCTTCCACCACCTCCAGCTGAGGCCTGGAGCCACAAGCTCACTGCCACGTCCTCACATCTCGACCTAAAACGCAGGGCAGAGCCCAGACAGGGTGTCCCACAGGACCCTCCCAGAAGCGCGCACAGTTACAAGGAAATTTCAGTAAAATTCTTCCATTCTGAGGCCAAGTGGATTGGCTCAAGAACAGCAAATTCCCGCAGGGGCAGCAGCAGGCAGGGGGACAGGGCCAGGGCCTGACCAATGTTTTCTAGTGTTTCCAAACCTAGGCCTCTGACAGCCCCGAGACAGCAAGATGCCTCGGGGACCCACAGCTTTCCCGCAGCTGTGGGCACCTGCAGGCCACAGCATCCCTGGACAAGCAGGGACTCCAGACACCCACCATGGGTAACAGCTAAGCGATGCACGGCCCGGCCTGGTCCAGCCCTGCCCTGCCCCTCCTGCTGTACTCTGCCTGCCGCTCGCAACAGCCGCTCTGAGCGAGCAAGCGAGCGAGCAGCGTAGGGGCCGCCGCCCTCCCACCCCCGGCTAGTACCTGACTGGCCACTTTGCCATAATCGATCCACCGCAGGGTGGCGAAGTTGGTCGACTCGGCGCAGTTGAACCCGTGGTTGAACCCGGCGTGGTAGCCGTAGGGAAAGGTAATCATGAACTCCCCGGCCTCTTGCGTGATCTGAGGAAGGAAACGGGGACGGTGAGGACGGGAGAGGGGTGGAGACCCCGGGCTCCAGGAATGCTGGGACCACTCAGAGGCCTCCAGCCCCATCTCCCCCCTGTGGCAGATACAGGATGTGGGGCGAGGGGCTGCAGTGCTTGTGGGGCTGGCAGCCCTCATCCGAGAGCTGGTTCGAGACCCATCCCCGGCTGCTTCCGCCTCTGCTCGTCCAGCCTCCCGCTGACCTGCCTGGGAAGGCAATGGACGGCGTCCCCCAAGAGTTCCGGTCTCTTGCCGCCCGGGGGGGAGGCCCTGATGGGGTTCTGGTCCTGGCTACAGGAAATGCAGAGGGAATTTCAGGTACTAAGTCAGCACATGGAAGATTCTACATCTCCCCCTCTCTCTGTCAGCCTTGCAAAGAGACTGAAAAAACCATCAATCAGGTTGTACGTGGGCGGGCCCTCGGGCCACGGTGACAGCTGCTGTCATGAGGGGCCACCCGATGCCGGGGCAGGTGCAGACACTTCTCACAGACGGGGTGTGGGCAGAACTGGGCCCTGTCCTTGCACAAGGAGGACCCGTGAGGCAGGCAGGCCCCACGCTGTGCCCCGGCAGTGGGTCAGCGCAAGAGGTGGGTCAGGTGCACGGAGCAGCACTTCCAAGCACCCACACCTCAGACAGCACAGGGTCACGAGGCTCTGAGAGGTGGAGGGAAAGGTTGGGGCGCCTGCAGCTCGGGCGGGGTGCTGGGAGGGGCAACGCAGCCCATAGTGATCGGTAATGATGCAGCCCTGCCCTGCGGCCTGTCACCCAGGACCCACGTGCACACTTCAGAACAACGCCTGTAACAGGGACGATTGTGCCCGCTTGCTGTGACCCGGGAAACAGACGCTGCTTCTCGGGCAGGCGGCCGTGGGCCCCGGGCACGGGCATGGAAACCCGGGGCCCTTCAAGCCTCCAGGGCTTTGACGGGGAGCAGGTGGTGGCCCCGCTGCCCCACTGGCCACAGGGGCCACGGAGCGGGCATCTGCGTGCTTGGCAGCTTGGGTCTGGTGTGTGCGTGTGTGAGCTTCTTTGTGTTGGCATAGGGTTGGGCGGCATCCGGTGGCATGGGCACGTCCTTGCTCACGTCAGCCGTGGCTTGGGGTTCTGATGGGCACTGCCTCATGCCAGGCCAGCAGCTATGCCTCAAAGCCGGGCTTCTGTTAGTCACCTCTGACTGCCCGGGCCCGGGGCACTGGCTGTCTACACCTGACTGCTGCCCACCCCTGCTCCCCAAAACCCACTTCTCAGGTGGCTGACGCTCATTTTGTCGATCTGCGGGGGTCCGCAGGCTGCTCTGGGGACCACTGGATCTAGCGGGGGGGAACAGCAAGGACTCGAAAGCCCGCTGGGGGAGCGGGTGGCAGGAGCTGGGGGGGAGGTGTGGGGAGCGAGCCTCGGCGAAGTCGGCTTCGAGAAGTCAGCCGCGGCCTCGGAGATCAGTCAGAACGGACGCGCCTGGAGGCACGCCAGCCGTTACCAACGCTCTGATATTTTTCTTTTCCAATTTAATTAATTGAACCGATCACAAGAAGTCAGTGTCCATTAAGTTACATGTTTAAGCTCCCGGTGACAGCGCGGGGGGTGGGCTGGGTTCCTTCTACAAGATGCTGGGGGTGGGGGGTTGGGAGTGGGATTTCCTCACCTAAGGCCAGGCCAGACGGTGGCCCTCTCCCCCAGGGATCTGTCCCCCAGCATAGCGGAGCCGCCCCCCAGGACTAGCCATGGCAGGTGTGGGGCAGGACCCCACCCCCTCCCGAGAACTGAAGCCTGAACCAAGAGGCGCTGGGCTAGGAAGACGGCGAGATTGTGTTCTCATCACTGCGTCTCCGCGCCTACGGCGTCTGTCACGGCGTCACCGTTATCCCGACAATCAATTAGACGACGTGTCTGGGATGATGGATGGGCCGCGCGGGCGAGCCATCGGCGTCCCCGCCCGCCTGCTCGTCCGTCCGTCGCCGAGGGGCTCGGGACGAAGCATCCCCACAGGCTCTCGCAGAATAAATGAGGAAGTCGATGGCAGATTGCAGAAATACACACTTTTAATTATTAAAGAGCCCCGCAATTGATCTGCTTCTTCTTGGAGGAGTAAATACCATTACAGGGATTTATAAGTGGAGCGTGCGGGGCTCGTCAGCTGAAGGATGCCAGGAATTCAGACGAAGGGAGAGCCACATGCACACGGGCAGGGACGTCTGCCTGCAGCCCCTCCATGCACGCGGGCAGCGATATCTGCCTCCAGCCCCCGTGCCCCAGGGAAGCTGCCAGGCGGCGGCCCCTAGGGCTGGCTGGAGGGCCACCTGCCATCATACGCAGTCTCCCAGTGCCAGCAACTAACTGCCTCTGGTTTAAGTTCAGGTCCCTGTGGAACCCTAACCATGCTGCCAGACACGTCTGTGATGGCTTCTCTCCCCCACGAGGTACCACTCTGCGGAACGTTCTAGACCAAGCAACCAGAAAACCAGCGTTCCGCACAGTGTGTGAGCCAGGCCTGCCTGCAGTCCGTGTCACGAGCCAGGGTTATGTCGGATGCCAGCGGAGGTGGGAGGCAGCCACCTGCCCTCCCCGGGCGCGTCTCCGCTGCTCACCCCCCAGGGAAGGCGGAGGCGGCTGCTGGAGCGGCCTTTCTCGCCCAGGCCCTGCTGCGTGCAGCCTTGCTCCGCGCGGGGCTTGATTGAAATATCAGAAGCGATTTCCGACACGCTGACACTTGAGCATGCAGAGCGAGGCCTCGACAGAGCATTTTCTGGGCCTGACAAACTGCTCTTCGCGGAAACTACCAACTGGATCCCCACAGGGGGGCTGTCTCCTAGCACACCCTCATTTCCGGAAGGTTCTGGCCTGGGTCACTACCTTCCTGCCCCTTCCTAAGGGGCCTGCCTCCAAGCTGGGTGCACCACACCCGGCTGAGTGTCTCCTGGGGCCAGCCCAGCTCCTAGGTTTGCAAACCCAAGGTGGCAGTCAGTGTGAGGCCCACCTGCTGCCCACCTTCCTGGCCGGGGCCAGGGCTTGTAGGCAAGGCGGACCCCCCCTTGTAGGCAAGGGGGGCCCTGGCGCCCCCATCCATCAGTGCCTCCTGTCAACACACTGCCTGCCCTGAAGGCTGGCACAGGCTGCGATGGAGCCAGTCCTGATCTCTGGGCTCATCTCGGGCAGGAACGGGGGGCAGCATCGAGCCTCCCCTTTCGACGCCCCAGCACAGAGGAGGAGGCAGAGGTGGGGGCCCAATGCGGAGCCGCCTGCACCCCGCTGCCAACTGTCTCCCCACCGCCCCGCACGTACCCGGCTGAAGGGGATCCCGTACTTCTTGAGGATGATGGGCGAGATGAGAGTCATCTTGTGTCGCAGGAAAGCGTCACAGCCCTGCGAGCTGCCGGGGAAGAATCCTAGGATGAGAGAGATCAGGGTGAGTCTCCTGGAGGACAGGAGACCGGGCCCCGGGGCACCCATGGCCCCCAGGAAACACAGCCCGCCGGAGCCACCCCAAGGCACTGGGCACCCAGACAGGGAAGCCCTGACCCTCTGATGGGTGGGCAGACTGCACCAGACCCAGCTGGGTGGGGCCAACGCCTGCACCACTGCTGCCAGCTCCCCAGGCCCACGCAACACACAGCTGTGGCACAAAGACTCGGGTGGCTAACGCCCTAAGACCAGGCTGAGCTGGGAGCAGGGTGGGCATGCTCCTCCAGCGCCAGGCATCCTCCTTCAAGGTCACGGGTGATCTCCAGGGAAAACCGCTGCTAATGAAGGGACAGTCCCAGGAGCGCTCTGCCCCGTGCCAGCTGAGCCTTTTCCACACAGCACACCGCCCCCCACACCGGACAGAGATGGGGTGGACAGTGAGGCCTGGCCACCTGTGTGGAAGCAACCAAGCTTGCATCCCTAGTGGGGAAGCCTCTGGACCGTGGACTTGAAGTGGCTTTGCACAGTAGGGGCTCCCATCCCTCCAGCCCCCACTGACCATCAAGCTGACACACTTGAGCTGTTCAATCAGTAAGACCTAAGCCCACTGTGGCTGGACACATCCCCCAGACCTCCCAGAGGGACCCACATCCTCAGGGTGGGGTGCTCAGTCCCTGAACTGAAGCTGAGGAACGCTCACGGCTCAGGCTGTCCCCAGGGGCCAGCCCCTCGGGAGGCGACAGGCTGCTGTGGCACCTGCTCACTAGGGCTCCTGGAGTGATTGTAGTAACTGTGAACGGGAGGAAGAGGGGCCGGCACACACTGTGAGGTGGACCTGGTGGACCTAGAGGTCCCAGGGTCTCCAGGGCCCCCAGTCTCCCTGCTGCCAGATCCACGCCTGCAGACTCGAGGCCATGGACACGAGCGTGGGAGGGGTGAGGCCAGTGGCTGAAGGGGTGCTCCGGGACACACCTGCCCCATAGCGGCAAGCAAGGCCCCTCCCGGAAGGCCAGGGCCCCTGTGGGGTGCGTGTGCACACACTGGGCGGACACGAGGGCATGCACCGAGCCGGAGACTCGAGGGCGAGGTTCTGGGATGGCTGAGCCCGGAGACTCAGGCACTCCCATTAGTTAGAGTGCGCCTGCCGCCCAGCCCCGGCCGCCTGCCCACACTTCCTCTTTTAAATGCGCCGTTTAAGTGGTTCTCATTAAAGCTCTAATAAAGGCACGCACTCCTGGTGATTTGCACCGAGAGCATCAACCCCTCGCAGCTCTCCCAGCGAGCCCATCCGGAGGCCGCCAGTCCATCGCGGCCATCTCCTGAGGTTGGTGGCGACATCGGGGCTGCAGCCCCAGGACAGGCCTGGGGTCATGCCAGGCTTCCTTCCCAGGCAGGGCTAGGGTGCCGGGCCTGTGCCCGGGAGGGTGGTACGGGAACAGCCTGGCCAGCTGGCTGAGGGTGTGTGTGTGGGGGGCGAGGTCCTTGCCTCCATTTCCTAATGCTGAGCCAGCACCCCCAGCTGGGGCCGCCTGGGGAGGTCTCGATTGGAGCCAAAGAACAGAGAAGGGTGGCGCCTCTAGCCGCCACGGGAAAGCAGGTGGGCGAACCTGGCTTCTTCCAGAGCCTCCAGCACTTTATAGACAAGTGGGACAGGGCCCTGCCATCTGCTGAAGGCTGCCCTTGCACCCAAGCCCGCAGGGCCCTCACAGCCCTGAGCTACACAACCCTGCTGTGTCGCAGGCACCCACGGGCACACGCGCGCCTTTCCAAGGGGGCAGGTGCCGACGGGGCGGGGGCTGGTCCAGGGTCCCTCCAGCAGCCCTGTCAGGAACCCTCAGCGGGAGGGGGCAGTGCCCGGGGAACTTGGTGCCACCACAGCCCAGATGTCGGCTTCTTTCCCAGTCTGGGCATCTGCCGTCACCCAGGCGGTCCCTGTTCCTCCCTGCTTCTCCCTGGACAGGTCCTAGGACCCCATCACCTCCTCCTCTCTGCAGTGCTTGCGCCCAAGAATTCCCACAAAGACGTGAGCATAGCCTGCTGGCGGGGGTTGGCAGGGACATTTGCAAAGGGCACCCAAGGGTAGGCAGACACTTGCACAGGGTTTAGGAGTGACCCCCTCACCAACACACACACACACACACACACACACACACACACACACCCTGCTGCAGAAGAACCAAGCTCTAGCCAGGCCCAGAGCCGCCGCTGAGACCCTGGGAGGCAGGTACACCACGGCGCCCAGGGCCCAGGCATTGGGAGACGTGGCAGCCACGACTCCGAGCACACACCCACTCCCAAAGGAAGCCTGCATGGGCAGCCAGCCTGCCCGGGGTGTCGCCAGGCCGCCCTGCCTCGTGGGCACAGACACTTACCAATGGCCAGCCGCTCCAGGCGCTTGCCGTGTTCCGGAGGGATGGCGTACCTATGAGAGAAGGGAGGCGCATGAGACGTGGGCTGGTGTGGCCGCCACAGCCTCAGGGAGACCTGGCTGGATCAAAGCTGAATTGTAACTGGCCGTGGGCAGGGCAGCAGGAGGGGATTGTGGAGGGCAGGGGTGCCAGCGGACAGAGGAACAAGTTAAGGCCGCCGACTTGGTGCCAGCAGTGACGATGCCCCCCGTGCCCTCACGGTGACAGCAGAAAACCTGCTGGCTGGGGCCCCCAGATCCCTGGGCTGGGAACTTCTCACTCCCCTGCCCGCCAGGTGACACTCCTGGCAGGTGGTACCTGGGGACACTGACGCACGTACCCTGTGGTGCCCAGGACAGCCCCGCCCCAAGGACTGGTCCAGGCCCAGCAGCCACAGTACGAACCCAGCACCACAGTCTCTCCTGCCAGCCCTCACGGCACGGGACCCGGGGCCTTGGAAACTACCAGAAGGAACCAGCCACTCCAATCAGGGACCTGGTTTTTTTTCTTTCTTTCTTTCTTTTTTTTTTTTTTTTTTTTGTTTTTACTAACAGCGGGTGGGGGAGAGAGAGAGAGGCTGAGGCGAGCATGTGGTCTTCCGTAATCTTACCAGACACAAATAATTAATTTCTGGGCTCGCTCCCAGCGCCAGCCCCCGACAGAGGCGACCCAAAGCATCTTCAACCCCTCGTTGCCAGAGAACCGGCCCCATATGGACAAAGCTGAGGTCTTCCCAACAGCCTTTTATCATTCACAGCCCACTGATAACAGCTTATCCCAACCCCAGCAGTGTGGCAGGATTAGCGACCCCCCCTTCCTGGTCAGCCCTGTCTTCGGAAAGACCCCAGGGAGGTGGGGGGCCTCGGTGGGGGGGCGGCTGCATTAGGACTCCAAGGCTACGGTGGTGGATGCCATGTCCCAAGCTACAATGCTGCTTTCACTTAATTACCGCCTGTAATTGGGAGTTGTAAAGATAAGATTAATTGAATCTGGTGGATGTTAAAAGTTTAATACATTGGAACGCCGCTTCCCCCACTATCGGAGCGTACAGACTGCGGGATTCCGGCTGAGCGTGTGCGACAGCGGCCCCGTAAGGGAGCGTGAGGCCCTTGGCGGGAGGGGTGGGGGATGGACTGCCAGGCTTGTGGGCTCTGTGCCTCCCGCCACCCCGAGAGCCCGGTGGTGACGGGCGAGGGCCACACTGCACTGCCCAGCCCACCCGAGGCGGCCCACCCGAGGTGGCCTACCCAGCATTCTTTGAGCAAGGTTCCTCAGTCTAAGCCACGGCTGCCTTAGGCCTGACAGCTGCTCCCTGTCCACATGGAGCTGGAGCTGTTGGGGGACCGCAGTCAGCAGGTGTCATGGAAAGCCGTGATGGGCGGGAGAGGATGCAGCCAGCTGGACAACCTTCCTGGGCCAGTGGGCAGCAGGTATGATGGCCCCTCTCTCATAGGAGAAGGGTCCCCAGAGCACGGCCTAGGGGGACTCCAAGCAAGCATGAAAAGCTAGTGTCCAGTACCCGACTGGGGTGCTTCTGACCTGTGGCTGTGGTTTGGGGCAGAGGGGTACAGTGGCTGCTGACATTGAAATGTGTGCTCGCTAAGCAGGCTGGAGGCGTCTGGCTCCCATGAGCCCCTTCTGGAGCCATAAAGAGCGGGTTCCTGTTTATAGTCACTTTACTACGAGATCAATTTGCATTGCCGCTCCCGACCCCAGGTGGCTGGCACTTGTTGGGCATTTGCACCCACAATGGAGTGGGACGATGGGCAGCACCCCAGCTGAACTGCCCTCACCCACATGGCAGCCTCCTGAGTCCAGGGTGGCCCCAACCTCTGTGGTCTTGCCTTAGGCACCACGTTGGCACTGTCCTGAGCCTGGGGTGGCAACTGGCTGCCCTCGCAGGCCAGTGGTGGGGAACCGGCTGGGTCCTGGGAAGGGAAGGCCAGCGACCTGGTGTCCTCTGGGTGCTGGGAGATGGACGGGCAGGCAGGGCAATGAGGAAGCTTCCAGCAAGGCAGGTCATAGGGTGGCCAGAGCCAGGGAGAGGGCAGTCGGTACGAGGCTCGCTCCCCTGGCATTTTGCTAAGTCAGTGGTTGGAGTGGCACAGTGCCTCGAGAAGCCAACGCAGGTGCAGGGACACACGGGCAGCCCACGTGGTCTCACCCCTCAGCCATCAGCCCCGCAGCTGCCCTAAACTGTCTCCTGGTTCCCACGCTTCGGGCACTTCCGCAAAGCCTGCAGCAGAGCGGGCAGAGCGAGGCATGGCTCTGCCCGCACGCGCCACGACCCAAGGCGGCCATGCAGACAAGACTGGGCAACACGGCCAGGTCAGGGAGAAGACACGAGTGGGGAGACCAGCTTGGAGGGTGGTGCCCCTGAGGAGGGGCGGCCGCCATGGTCGGGGAGGGGTGGGGGGCGGGGGAGGTCTCCCCGGCCGCCACGCAGGATGCTATTAATAGTGTAATTTTCTTGGTGTTTTGTTTATTCCCCTGGAATGGCTTGATGGATGTGAGTAATTATCAGACTATAAAAGCTAGCAAATGTGCTATTTTCTATCGCTCTAAATCATCAAACAAATAAAGTGTGAAACAGCATTTCGGAATATAATTTTCCCCTCTAATGGTTCAGAATTATTACCGAGAACAATGGGGGATAAGTAAGCCAGTGCCCGTGGGTTAAGATCCAGACAAGTGTGTCGGCGAGAGGGACATGAGCGTGGCCGGCCGGGGGCAGGACCTGCTCGGGGAGCAGCGGCTCAGGGTTGCCACACGCGAGGCACCGGCCAGCCGATGGCCATGGGGATGGGAAGACAGGTGGAGTGGGTGTTGTGGTCAGGGACACAGGGAACCCTGTACCCCCAACTTCACTCGCCCCCTAGTGGTCCTGTCGGTCAGGGATCTAAGACCCCACACCGCCTGCTCTCCACCATGGCAGTGGTCTCCCGCTAGGGACTCAGAGCCTGTAGGGGGGTCTTGCAACAAGGAGAGAGGTGCCATGCCCTCAGCACCCACAGACCCACACGGCTTCCTGCTCCGGAGATTCGGGGCTGCTGCGGGGCCTGGGGCTGCCCGGAGCCCTTCGGAAGCACCAGCTCAGCCCGCCGCAGGCAGGCAGGGAGAAAGGTCACTTTACAATGTCTGTCCCGCCAGGTCACTCAAACAAGCAGGCCGGGCCGACGCATGCCAAGAGCAACCCAGAGCCAGTCACCCCTCTGCGGCCCTGGGGACGGCGTGGTGTGGAGGCCAGACTGCCGCAGGCCTCGGTATGCGTGCCCCTGCGTGCTGTGCTCCGTGGGGCCAAGTGGGAGTGCGAGGCTACAGGCCACTCACTCAGGACCAGGGAGCTGGCTCCCCTGCCCCCAGGGCCGAGCCCCAGCACCCTAAGGACTCAGGTCACAGGAAGCTACAGGCCACTCACTCAGGACCAGGGAGCTGGCTCCTCTGCCTCCAAGGCCGAGCCCCAGCACCCTAAGGACCCAGGTCACAGGTGCCCTCTCTGCAGCCTGCCCGCCCTCCAGCTCAGGGCACAGCACCCACCCAGGGAGGCCTTCTGAGAGCAGAGCCAGCCTGTGCCAGAGGCACGGGTCACACCTGAGGGGGTTCCTTCCCGGAGAGCAGAGGCCACACCCAGGCTGCCTGGACCTGGACATGACTGACCCTGGCGGGACTCCAGGCACATGGACCCACCTGGCACACCCAGAGGCCACTGGGCAAACAGGGGGACGTGGGGCCCCAGTTTCTACCATGACCAGGACTCAGCCCGCTTGCACAGCTGTCCCGAGAGCAGCAGCCTCCGGCTGGCACCGAGCAGGGACGTGCCCCGCTCCTCCGGGGACACCCTAGTTGTATCTGTGCGGGAGGGCTGAACGCCGCGACACAGGCACCGTGCTCGGAGATCAGTCGGGCTCCGCTGAGGTTTGTTCCCGGGAACGCGCGTTATCTGAAACGCATCATTTCATGGGACAACGGGCGCTGGATCGCCATCCCCCACCAGCCGTGCTGCGACTGCTAAGAACGCCATTTGCACGGCCGCACACACCGGGCCAGCAGTCCTGGGAGCGTGCGGGCGCAGGAAGGGGGAGGGGTGCCAACCAGCACTGTGAAAGGACAGGAGGAGGCCTGGCATGGGGGTGGTGGGCAGCGTTCTGGGCATGGTGGCTGCTTGAGGGCCCCCTGCCCGCCCTCAGCCTCTGCTGACTCGGAGATGGCTCACACAGCCAGGCACGGCCACTGCCCTTCCCTGCCTGCTGCTCTCCAGTGAGGGGCGGGCTCCTGGTATGCCCTGTACAAAGCCAAAGGGCAAGGGCCTGACCCCAGCCCCGGGGTCACTGCAGGCGACAAGACCAAGGTCACAGCCTCACAGGTGCCCGCTAGTTGAGGGTGTTCCTGTGGTTGCCCGGCAGCAGGGCAGGGCAGGGCAGGACAGGGGAGGGCAGGGCAAGGCTGGGCAAGGCAGTGAAAGCCAGGCCCTTAACCACTGGCAGCCCCTTTGATGGCGTCAGCTCCTGCAGCCCCCTAGCTCACTGCTTCTATCCCAGGCCGCCTCCAGCGCCGTGGGCACCTGTGCTGGGGTCTCCCCAGGCTGCCCTGCCCGGAGAAGGGCGTGGGGGTGGAGGGACCAGGCCAGGACAGGGACCAGGGCCACTGGTGACCGAGCGAAAACCCAGCCAGGACCTGCTGGCAGAGGAGCCCCTGGGGATTGGGGTGGGGGGGCCAGGAACGCAGCCCCAGCCTGGGAGTTCCAGTTCTGTTTGGATGTCTACCCCTCCCGGAGGCCGTGCCCCAGCTCTGGCATCGGCAGGGTCGTGTCATGTTCACACAGTGTGGGTTAAGCAGGCTCTGCCGAAGGCAGCCCGACCCCAGCAGGGAAGCTGCTAAGCAAGGGCCATTAGCACCGTGAGCCAGGGCCTGCCCTCTCCCCACCTCACCCCTGCTGGATGGAATCGGAGGTGGGGGAGCCAAGATTAACAGCCTCTCCTGTTCCCAGCCCCCTCCCACTTCGCCTCCCTCCCCC